CATGTCCTGGATTTAGTGCTGGACTACTGGCAGGCAGGGCTGGGTCCTGGAGTTCGGCTGCAGGGCCCAGGGATCCTAGAGCTGGTGTCAGCGTTCTGTTTGGGGTGGGTGGGGCAGAGGTGGAGACCAGTTACTGACACAGTTAGGTATGGGGTCTGGGGTGTCCCAAAGCTTGTGTTGCCCTGCCAGTGGGTAGTGCCAGGGCCCAGCTGGTCCCAGGGTAGGGTCTGGTCTCTTTTGGGCAGGCTTGGTCTGCAGGCTGCAGGATTGTGGTTTTCTTATGTCTGGTGTCTGCCCTCTGGTGGGTAAGGCTGGTTTAGAGGTTAGCGCATGGCTGGTCTACAGGCTAGGCAGGGCTGGTGCCTGTCCACTGGTGGGTGGAGCTGGGTCCTTCCCCTCTGGTGGGCAGGGCCCTATCTAAAGGCATGTCTAGAGGTAGCTGTGGCCTCAGGAAGCTTTTAGGCAGCCTCTCTACTGATGGATAGGGCTGTGTCCCTGCCCAGTTAGTTGTTTGGCCTGAAGCATCCCAGCACTGGCACCTACAGGCTGTTGGCTGGGGCCAGGTTTTGGCACTAATGAGCTAGATGCTTGATGTTGGTACCATGATGGTACGAGTCCCAGTGTCCACACAGTAGAATCCACCTCGCTATGGCTGCCACCAGTGTCTATGTCCCAAGGGTGAGCCACAGCCACCCCTGCCTCTCCAGGAGACTCTCCAAGACCAGCAGGTAGGTTTGACCCAGGCTCCTATCAAATTACTGCTTTTGCCCTGGGTCCCAATGTGCGAGAGATTTTGTGTGTGCCCTTTAAAAGTGAAGTCACTATTTCCCCCAGTCCTGTGGGCCTCCAGAAATTAAGCCCCACTGGCCTTCAAAGCCAAATGCTCTGGGGGCTCATCTTCCCAATGCAGGACCCCTGGGCTGGGGAGCCTGATGTGGGGCTCAGATCCCTCACTCCTGTGGGAGAACCTCTGCAGTATGATTATTCTCCAATTTGTGGGTCACCCCACCCGGGGCGAGTATCGGACTCGATGATATCGCGAGTCTGCCCCTCCTACCCTTCACATTGTGGTTCCTTATTTAGTTGTAGAAGATCTTTTCTGGTATGTTCTGATCTTGTTCATCAATGGTTGTTCTGCAGATACTTGTGATTTTGGTGTGCTTGTGAGAGGAGGTAAGCTCAGAGTCTTTCGACTCTGCCATCTTGCTGGGCTCTCCTATCATCTTTTTTTTCTTTCCAAACTTGATGTAGTTTTTATTTTAAAAGCTATCATTGTTTTGTTGCCACAGTCAATTTATGTACAGCACAATCTATGTGTTTAGTGAAATTTGCTTGCCATCTCCTTTCACCCCAGTGTGGTTTACAGTATCCTGATTTTCATGATGTGAAACAAGCCAGGACCTCTGTAGGTGAATGACTCCTTGTACAGTGATAGGACTGAAAGTGGGTTCCTCACTGAAGTGGTCATAGTGCCCTGCTACTCATCAAAGGGACATAAAGTATCCACCCTCATCACCCGGGGTTCACCATGTGTGTCTGTGGCAGTTGAGTGGCTGAAAATGTGGGGCAGGGCAGCCACCTTTAAACCTAGAGATGAGTTGTGCTGTTGATAAAGCTGAAAGACAAAAGCAACGATTTGGGTCTTCTATAGCAGCCTGCTGCTTGGCTTTTCTGGGCCAGCAGTTTGGGCTCTGAATAAATGACAGCTGTGGGGGGACTTGGCATTTAATACGGGTTGTCACTGCAGCTGTGAGTAAGCTCCAATTCTAGGTTCTTCGCTCCATTTACCTAACAAAACAATCACCCCTTTCAGCTTTTTCCTAACAATGATGACTTTTGGAAATTTCAAACTGATTCTTCAGTGTGATCCAATTATACAGGAATTAAAAGTGGGTAGAAATAAATGGGCTTTAAAGAAGTGAAAAGGCAGGTTTTCCCAGATACGTTTGCCTATGAAAATAATCCTGAGAGAGAAGATGCTTTCAATTAATGCAAACATACATAGGACAGAAAAGATTCAGCTGTTTTCTCTGGAAAAAAAAAAAGTTTATTGCATTTGGAAGTCAATAGATATCTTTTACAAAAAAGGTTAGAATAAAGATCTCACATTTGTAAAGGCACATATGAAACATTTTAATAACAAGGGCAGTGAGAACATAAACAATACACAACTAGGACCAATAGCTAAAGACTTTATAAAAACAGATAGGAAACAGTGCAAAAATACTGTCAAAAGTCAGTTTCATACACCTCTTAATTGTGTATAAAACTGGCAAGCATAAGCTTATTTACTGATATAAAAAAGCACATAGAATAGCATGCATAATTTTATTTAAGGCTTTTAATATTATTAAATTGAGAGGGAGTCTATACCAAAGTAAAGTTGACATGTGAATATTAATCACTCCCCAACTTAGGGAACGTCCTATAAATGTCTCACTCCCTCTCTCCCCTTACAATTAGTTTGCAGTGAAGAGACTGGACCTCCATCTTGCAAGGTAGCAAGTGCCCACCACGGGGAGAAGAATGTGTTATCAGGATCCCAAGCCCCTCTCTGGAATGCATTTCTCACAGCAACAGTACGATAGGTGGTTAAATGCCCAGGTCAGCCCATGCCAGCCAGATCTGGCTGACACCACCCTGCTATTCAGCCGTGTTGGACATCAGAAGGCTTCTATGGGCTGACCTAAAACCCTTAAGAACAAACTGGTTTCTACATTAGGGACTTGTCTGTAGGTTCGAAATGAGACCTATTAAATGTCAATTGGTTTGAATGATAAAACAATTCACAACATTTTATAAAACACAGACCAAGGAAAGCATCAAAATACTGAATTAAGTCTCACAACAATAGTCCAGTGAAACAAAATAGATCAGCATGTTACTTGATGTAACACAAATTACTTCAGGTTATCTAATAGTCATCTGCATATGTAAACCCTTTTTTCCCCCATTTACACGTCCTCAAGCAAGTTAGCTGACTATTGAAGGAACAAAGGACATACACAGGAAAGCATCTCTGATGAAGAGTAACCTTACTTTTGAAAGGATAAGGGTAATAGATTTTTAAGATTTCAGACTGGCAAGAAAGTTCAGTCAAAGGAAGTTGCAATAACATTTTACGGTATTCCAAGTTGGGAAAAATGGCTCTGAATGACAGCTCTCAGTTCTAAGCTGAAGGTGTTTATTAGCTAACACCACATACAGTCCAGGGAGGTGGGAGGCCCCTGAGAAATGCTGAGAACGTCAGGCACCTCTGCTCTGAGAGCCAGCTGAGCTCAATGCAGAGCAGGGTTCCTGAGATGTTAGCAAACTAGTTCCACCCTAAGGCACAAAAAGACCCCAATCTAATGTTCTTAGCTTTTTCCCAAAACCTCTGTCAGGTGAGGCAGCCTCTGTGTTTCCCTGAAGGAGGAGGTGGAGGTGAGGAAGAAAAAAATAGGACACATTGCAGACTGGATTGAATAGCGTGTCCTGCCCCTCCCTAGACAGGGGAGAACGGATCACAAGGCAACGTATAAATGTCCCTGCGGAGCCCAGAGCTTCACCCATTTCACCAGATTGGCCAGGCTGCGTAGAGGTGACGGTGAAGGGAACAGAGTCAGCAGGAGAAGGCTAGAAACAAATTAATCCGACTACACGTGTCACGATGCCAAATGCAGCCGCTGTGGCTCCATGTCAGCTTGCCTCAAAAGAAGCCTGAGGGAGTGGTGCAACCTTTGTCCTAAACAGGACTGACCATCGATCCAGCTTATCTTCCACTCCTTCTAGTACTGACAGTGCCCGTCGCCAAGGGGAGAAAGGGGGTAAAGACAGCTTCCTGGTTGCCGACAGCACCTAGCTATTTTCATTATGGTTATTTCCCTTTGCCAGATTTCATTCCTTGAAACTACATAAATGCCAAATTTTACTTTGTGAAACTATATAGGCTTTTCAGGATTAAAATTAGATTTCCGAATTACATAATTTGGAGAGATTGAGCAGAGTGATTACCTATGACTAGATTCAGCTGCTTTGTAGGAGTTGCTAAAAGGGTAGGGAAAGGAAAGAAAAGGTGTGCTGTCGAGAGCTGATCCATAAAGCAAATGAAAAACAAGGCCAGCGTAGCCCTAAGTGAATGGGGTGCTCTTGGAAGAGGGTGACATCACAAAGTAGTCCCACCTGTGCCCTCAAGTGAGACAACGAACTGCCGTTACTACTGATATATTGACGTCTTACCTGCTTTTTATGCCCTGATTAGAAACACGATGTGCTGGGAAGGGGAATCCGCTCTGCAGCCCCACCGGGCCGGAGGAGAGGCGCAATCAAGATGCACAGGAGGGGCTACCCTGGTGGCGCAGTGGTTGAGAGTCCGCCTGCCGATGCAGGGGACGCAGGTTCATGCTCCGGTCCGGGAAGATCCCACATGCCGCGGAGCAGCTGGGCCCGTGCGCCGTGGCCGCTGAGCCTGTGTGTCCAGAGCTGTGCTCCGCAACGGGAGAGGCCACAACAGTGAGAGGCCCACGTACCGCAAAAAAAAAAAAAGATGCACAGGAGCTGTGATAGCTAACTCCAGAGCCGTGTGGTTGAGCAAATCTTCTGCTAATAAGGTGGCAAGGAAAGGGAGGGCCACCAGCAAGTGAGGGGAGGTGGTCTTTCTGAGCAGCAAACCTAGGCAGGCATCAGAATCGAGAACATTCGTCAAGCTCCACTGCAACAGTGAGGACACGATTTAAAACTACGAGCGAGGGTACGGACGTCCCCGGTGCCGCCATGGTTGAAAATCCACCTGCCAATGCAGGGGACATGGGTTCGAGCCCTGGTCCGGGAAGATCCCACATGCCGTGGAGCAACTAAGCCCGTGCACCACAACTACTGAGCCTGCGCTCTAGAGCCCACAAGCCACAACTACTGAAGCCCGTGCGCCTAGAGCCCGTGCTCTGCAGCAAGAGAAGCCACCACGATGAGAAACCTGTGCACGCAACGAACAGTAGCCCCCGCTCGCCGCAACTAGAGAAAGCCCGCACGCAGCAATGAAGACCCAACGCAGCCAAAAATAAAATAATTTAAAAAAAAACCAAAAACTGTGTGAGGGTGAAACAGATCTCCCCACTACAGCGCGGTCTTTCCCAGGATCACCACCTCATCTCCATCCCTCTGGCCTTATAGAAAGGGAGGGAGTAGGAGAGACATCACCGAGTTCAGAAAATTGTTTGTGAATCAGGAACTTTTTGATAGAAACTCCAAGCCTTCCTCTTTCTCTTCCCATTTATAGCTCTTCTCTGGGCAAGCTTATGGCATTTTTTGGAAAGAATGATCTGGATGGCCCAAAGCGTGGCAGAAGGAACAGTGACTTTCTAGATAGATGCGTTCTCATGTTCAAGGCTGCCCATCAGCTTTTGCCCTCCTGTCTTAAAACGAGAAGTTCCTTGAATTTACTTTTTAAATGAGAGGGCTGATCAAAGCTCCAAGCAGTAGGAACTGACCCACATCCTCCTTTTCACTGCACCAAGCAACAATAAATTATGCAGTCCTGTGAAACCGACTGATGCCAGATATTCAATGCCAGGCTCATGGACATTTTAATAGAGAACCTTTTAGTTTGGCCTTGAGGAAGAAGACACAGCTGTCTTAAGCTGGAAAAAAATAAGTAAGGTAGTAAGCTGGATAAAAACACGCATCTGAGTTCCTAACAAATGCAAAAGCTGAGAGCAGGCAGGATAAAGGTTGAGTGTCAGGCAAGTAGGCCATCGAGTTCCTCAGGACCCCATGAAGAACAGCAATTTTCGGGGCAACACATATGAGTTGGCAGAATTTGGATATACCTGCCCATTTCTCCCAGGCATGTTGCTGTTACTTTCGATAGATGCACCAGTAAGGTCTTTTGCCCCAAATGTCTTAGAAGCTGAGGCAAAGACAAGAACCATTGTGCTTAACTTGCTCAGAGTTCACGGGAAGTGTCAAACATAATTTAATATCCTAGAGATGTCCACCCTATAGGGCCGAGTAGGATTATTTCAACCCTATAGGGCCAACTAATCTGTCACCCGTAAAGCTCTAGACCAATGGAAAATGTTTGCAGTCTCCATGAAAACCCCAAATTTCTCCATTTGGAATCAGTGCTAGATGAGTTGTTACTCTGCTCACGGAAAGAAATCACTAAGTAAGAGCATGGTGAGTGTCTGATAAAATCCATAGGCAATAAAATAAAACACAGTTGCAGAAGTATCTTTGGTAAAACAAGAGGGAACTGTATTCCCACAAAGAGCCACCCTAAGAGCCCAACAGTAATTACTTGGTGCTTCTGGAAATTTCTTACTCTGGGATCCTGACAGTTACCCCCGACACGAAGGAGAAATGAAGGGTAGATTAACACTGATATGGCTCAGACTCAGTCCCCAACCCTTGAGTCTAAGCTCCCTGGCACACATCTTAGAAGGTCCCTGCATTTGCCCACCCCCTGACCTCAAGCGATTGACAGATCTACCCCCCCCCCAAAGAAAATCAATAACCATACCCACTTTCTCCATCCCACGCACCACTGGAAGTGGGGAAGAGAGATTCAAAAGCACATTCTGCTTTGTGACTCTGGACACCTCGGGCCCACATATTGTGTTCCATAACCACTGGGCTGAGGTCAGCTAATACAGACTGTGTATCAAGAAAGGATGGCAGCTGAAAACCCCATAGTCACGTGCGTGATGGCCAACCCTGCCTATGAGAATCCAAAGTGCTCTCTGCAAAGAGTGACTCCAAGCCCCAGGAGATGGCCCACTCAAGTGAGGCAAGGGTTGCCGCAGCAAGGCAATGAGTTCACAAAAAGAACCAAGCCGCCCACTGTACATGCTTTCGTGTTCATTAGCACTTGAGAAATGACATATGGTGCGCTGGGATCCATACTAATCGGGGAGGAGAAACAAACTGTAAGTGTTAGGTTGATCCATGTGAATTTTCTGTTATTGTAAGTAAAACATGGTCCAAATATTGGAAATTTCATATGAGTCAACCTATATCAAGCTGGAAAAGATAAGAAAGGTAGGCAGTTGGATAAAAGTGCTGACTTACGGTACCCACTGGTGTTTATAACAGAACCACAAAAGCTGAGTGTAGGCAGGATAAAGGTTAAGTGAGTCCTGGGCAAGCCAGTGGGCAAGTCCCACAGGATGTCACCCAGCGGAGCCCACCAAGACCCTCTCTCCAGGCCGATGGGGGGAAGGGGCCAGAGATGGCCACGGGACTCGGAGGCAAACAATAACTAATTACAGTCCAAAAATAGTTCCTCTTCTCAATCTAGGAGCACAAAAGTTGTAGAAGTAAAATTCTCTCTATTTAGGGTTCTCGGAAGTTTATTACTCAGAATATTCCACGTTTGACATCCCTGCCTAAAGCCGCCAAATCCTCCTTTACTTCCTGTCCAGGGAAAGTGGTGTGTAAATGTAGATGAGACCAAGGTGGTGTCCACTTAAAGCCCAAGGAACCCAGTAAAGCACAACAGGATACGGTTCGGCTTTTCAAACAGGCTTAGCTCAGCTCAAGGGTGAAGACGTCAAACTCAGCCCCACTGGTTCAGGGACCACGGTAAACAAGGATGAACACTGCGTCAATATATCCAAATGGGAGTGGATGAAAGAAACAAAACATTTCAACTGGAAAAACTTCAAAACCAGAGGCCTGAAAGCGTTGGATGGCTTTGTTGTAAGATGGTATCTTTTTTTTTTTCCCCCTCCATTTTAAATTTTCTCCCTTCAAGTCGAAACTGCAGCTTCAGACTTGATACATCGTCAGGAACTCACTCCAAAAGCTCTAACTAGATAACTAATTTAGTACACTTTGCTTCAAGGTTTATTCCTTGGCTTGCTTCCCAGATATAAAGCATCTCTGGGCAATTATTATGCAGATGCCACTGAAAGGACTTCAAATGTCTGCTGCTCATTTAACAGGAGATAGGTTGGCATTTACTGGAGACGTGAAAAGGAAGGCAAAATGGGCTCAAGGGCAAAAAGCATTTGTTTTTAAAAACAAAATATGGGGAATCACTTTTAAATGTTTTCCTTTGCGTTTCAATACAACCTTCGGCTAGGAAATTGGATACTGAACCTACTTCTTTGCATTCTGTGCGTTCATGAATATCCCCAGAGCACCAACTGGCAACAGTGGATGAGCTGAAAGGAGGGTCGTGAGTGATGAACTCAGGGACAGCAGATCTACACGCTGCCCACATGAGACATTTTAACACCCCACACTCGGGCCTGAGAGACAAAGAGAAATACCGATGTGGTTCCTCAAACAATAAACCAGTAACGGCAGACCAACTGTTAAAACATCCCTAACAGCAGAATATCCCAAGGATGGAAAGTCCCTAAGGAAAAGGAAACAATACCTCTTTGCTTGCCGATGATCCAATTTCTGAGCGTCTCCTAGTGAGGGTTACGAGCTGGGATCCACTGAAAATACATGTCATACTAGTGGTTTTCTTTTTCAGATCACGCAGCAAAATTCCAGAATCTACGGCGCTCAGCTGAAGTTCTGCTCCTTGACTGATTCTTTAGACCTTGGAAGAGAAGGTAGGAGGCCCTCCATAGCCAGATACTGAGTCCAAATACAGAGAACCACCGCTCTTAACACCTGGCCAGATGTGAAACCAAGTTGATTCATACTCCAAAGTAGTTCATCAGGAATCTGCTTCCGCACCCGCCTGTTGTGGTGACCAGAAGCCACAAAGGCACACTCTTTCTGGTCGACTGGATGCCATTCTTTCTTTATATTTGCACCTCAGGAGGAAAAAAAAAAAAAAAGGAGCAGTGGAAGAAGGCATCATGGAACACCCGCAAAAGTCAATTTTAAGAACAAAGCCACAATTAAAAGTTGCATCAAGAAAAACTAGACAGTAGAGGGGAAAATTCCCCAGAAGTCAGCAAGAGGGATAATGTGCAGAACATGATTATTATAGACTAACCTACAAAATTCAGAAGGACAGTGACCAGTGAAGGCCCAGAAGGAGACGAACTAAGGACTGAGCTTCAAACTGAGGGCAGGGTTAATACCACAACTGACCAGAGTGGGCTGTATGGAGAAAAGGAAAGCACCACAAATCTCACCGTCTTTCAGCAGGTGGGCCAAGCTTTGGACTGCAAGGTCCTGGGTGGGCTTAGTTCTGCTCCTGCAGGCCAAAGGCTGGAGATGCTAGCAGCACGGCGGGGATAACACTTGGGGTGGCTCCTGGCAGGGCCCCTGCCACCTGAGTGCCAAAGAGCCCCCATACATCAGCTTTCCCAACCGCTTCCTTTATAACCTTTCCATGGCACCCAGCACCTTGACCTTCAGATCCCCGTCAGCACACACTTCATATTTAAATAAGAAACAATATCAAGGGCCTGCATGTCTCCTCTCTCTTCCACACTGGTCTGTTATCTTCTCTCAATCAGGCAAGAAGCCTAGCTGCACAGACGGCCTGGCCCAGGGCCTCGGAGGCCACCAGACTAGGGTCCACTGAGCCAACAGGGAGAAGCAGCAAATATCAAGGGTGCAGTCTCCAGCAGGGGAACAGGCTCCAGAGCCCAGAATAAGGAGTGGTTGAGAAAGATACAACACAGAGTCCTCATTCTTCCCGGGCAATGGCAATCACTGCATTGGAAAGGGAGCATTTCCTCTAGCTGGTCCTGTCTTTAACTCAAGTCTGGGAGGAAAAAAGAGACTACTGAGGGAGAGGGCAAAAAGGGGAAAGGGAAGGAACTGCCCATCAAGCCGCAGGAGCCCCCAAATATAAGAAAAGAGTGTTGTTCTCCTTCAGGAAAGGGTCTTAGCCCTTTATATTTTAGGATGAACTCATTTTCTTGCCATCTTTGATTTGGACATGAGCAATTAGGCTGACAAATTTCAGGGCTGGTTACAAATCTGGCTGCAACTTCACTAGAGATGTGTTCCCTTATGCCTCTGTCCCCCAAATAATCCACCAGGCAACCCTCCCTACTGACCTATTACAATGCAGATCAGTCAAAATGTGGTTCAGATGAAAAGTACTATATTATTGTGAAAACTGCATTACGATGATTCACAAAAGTTATTCCAAAGGGGGAAAAAATAAATTATCTCATATAAAATAATACATGATGTTTGTGAATGATCTTGGCGCTCCTGTCTTCAGGGAGCCCGTGACCTGCCTGCTCCGGCCATCCGCGCCCTGCTGGGGGAGCAGATGTTGTCTGGAGGTGCTTCCCCATCTGTAAGATGGAGCTGGCTGCCTCTTCCAGGAGCTGAAGCAGGGGGTTAAATGAGTCTGGAGTTTTGGAGGAACTGGATGAGGACCTGGTAGACAAACTTGTACTGAGCGATGGTCTGGATCATGAACATCCTTTGCTCCCTGAGGAGCCTCAGCATCATGGGCACTTCCACCTTCTGCAAGAAAAGAGAAGAAGATCCTGAGATGGCGGCGGCGGGGGGGGGCTTCCCTTGGTTCACTCCCTCATCCAGGAAGCATTCACTCGCTGCCCCTGTGCAGGTACAGGAGAAAGCCAAAGACAGCCCCCTCTAGGTTATCCCAGTCAAAGACCCTAACAGTAACTGGAGAAGCTGGTCGTCATGTACCACTGTTGTGATATTTTAACTACAGACCAGTCCACTAGAGAAAACACAGAGGCTGGAGTTAAACCCGATTGGTACTCTTAACCGTACCATGACCCAATGGTAGGATTTAAGCCCTTTCTGGGTCTTCGCTTCTTCATCTGTAAAATAAGGATAATGATGCTTTCCTCCAATGGCAGTGTGGCCTTGGCCAAGTTAGTGACATTTCCTCGGCAGTAACACAGGGTGATAAACAGTACCCTCCTCAGAGGATCAGATGAAGAAATACATGTAAAGCATTTAACACAGTGTCTGGCACACAGTAGGCTCTTAAGAAAGACTACTCACTGTCTCATTAATATTAATGAAATAAGAACACTCATGCCCATCCTGCTACCCCACAGGATCGCAGGCATAACCAAGTGAGATAATTTACATGTAAACCTTTAAAACATCAAAGCACAATCTCTGGGCACCAGTCACACATGTTTGGAGTGAAAGTCTTTAACTAACGATATCTTGAGTATTAAATGAGATTGCCAATGTGTAAATTCTTTGAAGATCTCCAATGGAAAGGAATTAATACAATGGATCATTGGTGCCATGGTGTCCCCTCACTTGTGTCACTTTCATCCTCCTGGACCAGCCAAGGCCGAAGCACCATGGAGTCAATGTGCCATCATGGCCTTCGTATACTTCCCCCTGCTCTGGGAGCCCTTAATCCAGGCAAACGACCACACCCACGAACTTAGCAAGGACTGAGCAAGCATCAGAAATAAAATAATAAAAACTCAGCTGTATGTCTTTTCTTACTTTACTTTCAAGTCATTTCAGCTATTTCCAAACTTTGTGTAGCTACAATACCATACATGCCATCCTGTTTAGTCACGCTTCTCCAAAACTAGTTAAGTAATGCACACCACAGATTTAAAAGGAACAAGTCCCTGGTAATACGCAAAGAGAAAAAGGCATGTGAATCCTTAAACTATTAGTCAAAATACAGAGCCTAGACCATAAGCTTCTGATGGTAACTAGTGGGTCTGTGCCTAAACTCTACTCCAAAGTGACTGACATCGTGATACACAACACAGAGCACCTAATAATGAACTTAACATAATGCATGATAAGCATTACCCTGTGTTGGGCACTGAATATAAGGATAGAATAAGGCTGCTCCTACCTCATACCCATCAAAGGCTTTGACAAGAGAGGCAGGGTCACACAGAAGCTAAGAGGTCATCTCCTTGTGCCTCAGTTTCTCTTTGTTAGATGAGGGTACTAACAGAACCTCTCTCGTAGGGTCACTGTGAAGGCTACGAGCTGTAAGGCTCTTGAAATAGTGTTGGCCCATGGTAAACACTACATACACGTTAGCTGTGGTTATTATAGTATTTTCATTCTCGTCATCATCACAACCACCACCACCTCCCCCACCACCATCTCCTTTACCTCTACCATCTCCTCCACTTCCATCTCTGCCATCACCACTATCATTCATGGTCATTACCATCTCCATAGCCTGTAAGACTCAGCCCCTCAGGCTGACTCAAGGACAGTATACTAGGTGATACAGGGCAGTTTGGAGACAAGACAAAGTTCCCCCTGGTCCTCAATGAAAGAATCCTTCAGCTTGCCTTGAAGATGCACTTCCACAGGCTCTGCTGCCCACCGTCCCTAACCCAAGGAATCCGGAGGCTGCTGATGCTTGCTCCATCTTGCTTAGAAGACGCCCCCCCACCCCCCTACTCTACGAAGGAGGGATAACCAATTCAGAAAAGCAGCAAGATCAAGACATCTTGCTCTTTGGCTAGTGAGAACCTGACCTTTTGTAATTTAGCTAATCTGGGACAGGTGGCCAAGAGAGAGTATCACAAACCATGAAACTGGTGCGTTCTGAAAACAAAAGTATGGGCATTAAAATGTCATAGCTAACATTCAGTGACCAAAAGCAACAGGGCACAAAGCTTCCCAGGGCAGCCCAGGAGAATCCCCTCGCAGCTGCCCGACTTCACGGTTAAGCATCTTTGCTCCAGGAAAAAGAAAAGGCATTTCACTGATGAAATTAAAACTCTATGGATTATAGACTAAAACATAAAGTATCCTAAATCCAGAAGCCATGGAAAGAAGATGGGAAAGTTTAGACGGGAGAAAAATGGGACAACCAATTTTATATTGATTTAGCAAAATCTTTTGTTTAAAAAACAAAGAAACATGGTTGCACTCCTCTTCTAAAATAAGGGTTTGAATTTTACTAGCCAGGTCTGAAGCAGAACAAGCCGGCTACCAATAGCAATTATGGGAAATGGGACAGATAACGCTGGCTACATGTGCTAGGGGAAGGGAAGTGAAAACTATGAGTCATCTTGCTATCTTTGAATATCAATGGGAACAGAAGTCCTTTTTGGACTGACCACATTCCAGTAAGTGTTCTGGCATGCAACTGGGCATTGAGGAAATCTGCTGTGTCTGGATACACCATAGAGAATTTAATCACCCTGAGCCCTCACCAAGTCCACTCAAGGCCCTAGTGGCTGAACCCCTTACTCTGTACCACGCTGGCTCTGACATCTGTTATGTTCCACTGGGCCAGTGACATCTGGTGATCGATGAGCCTTCATGTCATCGTATTACTGAGGCTCAGCCTTTGATGGGTCTCCAAAGAGCTCTCAGAACACAGCGATCCTTCATGTCAGACCAGACTGACAAAACAGCTTCTCAAGTTGAAAAGGAGGAAGGGGGAACAGAGGAAGAGCACATGGGGAATGCAGAAAAGAAGGGGAATTTGGCGAAGAAAGTGACATAAGAAAAGATCTCTAAGTGGGGAGGGGAGGATGCGGCCCTTCTTCCTCCCCAGGAACCCACTGGTGCTGCCAGTGGAGCTCGGATATGCTTGAGCCACACGTACCCAGATCCCACTGCATCTTAGTCTATCTTCCCAGCAGTGAGCGGATCTGGGACTCAGTGGCGAGCTATTCACTCTACTAGAAACTCCTAGAGACTTCTAGTAGTGACAGAGAAGCAGACAATCAAGAAATCTCATGTGAGACAAAACGATAAAAACTCATAGATGACGACGAGATTTCTGTTATGTAGACTCAAGTGATTCCATGATGGGAATTTTGCTCCCCAATAGAATGTTTGTTTGTTTGAACAACAGGCCACATGTGATACAACTCCTCTTCTACTTTTTAGCAGCACAAACATTCATATGTACAGACTGAACGTTTCCAAAATTAACCTTTCATAGGCAGGGAACTTAAAAATCCTTTGAACATATTTAAACTTGGCATTTATCGTTTTCCGAGAAGTTTGAATATAACAAACTCCATGGGGCAATATTTAATCTGATCTTCAAACCACTGAGTAAATACATATATTGTTATATAAATTCCTTCACAGAACATGCATTATAACATCTCCTGATTTTAAAACTATCAAACCACTTCAAAAGTTTCCTTTGATTCTCCAAGCTGTACAATTTGTAAATTGAACAAGAATCAAATGACACCTGGCATTTGGAGGCAGAGTGAAGACAGGAAATAACTCAGGGCCAGGAGGTGAGAGACCTCACTTCAAACCTTGGCACCACTGCTTAAGGGCCACCTGGCACTGGACAAGCCACTAGATTGTTTCTGGACCTCAGCATTCCTCATCTGTAAAACAGGAACGGGACGTGTGCTGCTAGCGGTGATTAAAGAACCTAAGAAAAAAAAAGTGAAAGCCATCTAAAACCCCTAAAGCCCCCTGTGAGAATAGAAGGCAGAAGAATTGTTCTTTCGCCTTTGATTGCTATTTGTCTCATCTCTACAAAATCAAAAGCCCCTCGGTGTAACTCCCTGACCTACAGCAAGAAGGGAATGCCACACACCGTGTGGGCACAAATTCAGCCGCAGCCCGTGTCTATGGGAGAAAAGCTGGGCCTCCAGCCTCAGCAAAGGCAGGCCACGTCTCTGCCCTCGGATTATCTACCTGGCTCTGCTACACACCACTGCCAGTCTAGACAAGAGCAAAGAGCCCCCTCAAAAAACTCCCCACTAAAGAACGAAAAACGTTTTTAAAGTACACACATTTTCACGTAGGCGTTAAGCCAAAACACATCCCAGAAGTGCAAGACGCATCTATACCATATGCGACCCAATAACCCACTGTGGAAAATTACCCACAATAAAACCAGACCTTCTACGAAACACTGCAGACTTCTGGGAGTTGATGCCAGCAAAGATCAGATTTTCTAAATGTTGCCTCTCTCACAGTTTCAACTCTTTTTCTATATTATCGGGGTCTCTACACAGAGCAGTGAAAGGCAAAAGATCAGGAAGGTTGTAAATGTCAGAGTCCAACTAGGAATCATGGGCCTGGAAAACTCTCATCAGGAGAGGAAATTAAACAGTGGAAATAGAAGGGTACAGGTGAAGGTTTGGCCATGGTGTAGATTGGTCCCCAAGGTGGAGGATTCAGAAGCCCAGAATGACTTACTTCATTATGCTCCAGGCAGTAGATCATCAGCTCAGAAAGGATGACCACGCCGGTCCTTCCCACCCCAGCACTGCAGTGGACCACTATCGGGGGGTGCTGGTTCTTGGTGCTTTCCAACATGCTGTTGGTATGGCGACGGACCGACTGGATCTCCTCCAAGTAGGCTGCAAGACAACATGCAAATCTTGTCACTGATGTCCTGCATCGCTTTGCATACAAGTGAGGGGAAAAAAAACTGTGAATTTTTTTTTTTTAAGTGACAATAATTTACACTACTTACAAGACACTAATTATTTGGCTGGTACCCACTCTACAGTCCTGGATCCAGAAAGGACCAGCTGGGAGTCAATTAGTCCACGGGAGAATTTGTTCTTTAAATAGTTCTTTTTAAAAAATTAAATTCTGTCTTCCCCTCTGCAAATCCCAAAGTCCCCCAAGCAGATAATTCTCGACATTACTTACAGCCATTCCTACTGTTAACAGACTGGGATCAGACACCAGCCAGGTCCCCTTGAAATGCCCGCCTGTCAGAGCCAATTTCTGGTGGGAAGAGCGTCCATCTGCCCTCTCTTCCTTCCCCTCACTGAATGAGTGAATGTCAGCTGAGGCTTGACTCCATTTTTAGATTATAAAATAGACTTTGGGGAGCCTGGTTTTCAGCTTGGATCCCATGTGGTTATGTGAGTAGCTCAAGATAACCCCCCTTTCCTGGAGGCAGCATGTGGGTGGGGTGTGTGCCACGTGCCCCGTCAACATCTGCTTAGCCCCACAGGGCTGTGCAGGAGACTGTTCACCACTCCAACTGGGCACAAACTGAAAATTGCTCAACCCAAGCCTTAATAAGGACTATTTTTTTTAATGGTCATGAAAAAAAGGAAAAGTATATAAATGTAATCCCCAAACAATCCAAGAACTGGAAAAAGTCAATTAGTAACTGAGATTTTATAGTAGCTAGTTCAGGGGAGAAGCAGATTTGAAGGTTCCTGATACTCAGAAAAATCTCATCCCAGTGCAGCAGTGTAAAACCAAATGAGGAGAAAAACTCAAATTGCTGAAGAGAAAACAGCATTCAAACCATTCTCATAATTTTTTATAATTAATTAATTTATGTTTGGCTGTGTTGGGTCTTCGTTGCTGTGCGCGGGCTTTCTCTAGTTGCCGCGAGAGGGGGCTACTCTTTGTTGCGGTGCGTGGGCTTCTCACCGCGGTGGCTTCTCTTCCTTGCGGTGCACGGGCTCTAGGCGTGCGGGCTCAGTAGTTGCGGCTCGCGGGCTCTAGAGCGCAAGCTCAGTAGTTGTGGCTCACGGGCTTAGTTGCTCTGAGGCATGGGGGATCTTCCCCGACCAGGGCTCGAACCAAGGTCCCCTGCATTGGCAGGTGGATTCTTAACCACCGCGCCACCAGGGAAGTCCCCATTCTCGTAATTTAAAAGCACCTGTTTACACACAATGACTAAGAACTCCAATTTCTTTTATAACCTTATTTAATTAGTAATCTGAAATAGTTTACCCAAATAAACGTTTACTACCATCACCATCACCACCACTAATAATGTAAAATGAGATAGAACAAAACAAAAGAGGGAAGGCAATCTGAGGTGACTAGATAAGGTAGTTGCTATTGGTACCAACATGAGCTAAATACTGAGCGTGGAATTCCTTTCACAATTTTTTTCCCAAAGGGGAAAAGATACTAGACAATAACATTTTCTGACGGCAGGCAATGTTCACATACAAGAGACTAGGTTTTTCTTGTGCTAAATTTAAGGAGCGAAGTAAAAGGAATATTGATCAATAAAGCTGATGCCACCGTCAAGGGGAATTTCATGAAACACAGAGAAATTAGATTTAAGCAGATTCTTTCTCCAGCAATCATATTAATAAAGTTCCTTAAGGTGTAACTCAGTGAAGACCTATGGAAGACGGTTTGACCCAGTTCCTCTGCATCCAAATAATCTCATTTAAACACAAACAAAAATCTCCTAAAATTCTTAAAAACCTAAAGAGCCAACATTTCTAAGACCCTGCTCAGCACACTTGCCCTGAGTTTCTTAGAAAGGTAAATTAATAAACACTTTAAAAATATTCTCTATATTTTTCAGTAATTTAGACGGGCTGTCCTTAAATTGGTTCTGATTTAAAAGATTTGATTATAATTTTAACCATCTCATAAAACCTTTTATCAGATCTGTTAGCCAGTCATGAAACGGATCTACTTTTATTGTTTCCATTTTCTGAGTCTTGCTTCTAATAAAGCAATTAGCAAAACAGTACCAGAAAGGAATAAAAAGAACACTGTTATGAGGAAAGAAAGCTCTGCAAAGGTCACTGTGCTCATTAATATTTTGAGCTGCAGGTAACTGTTTGACCTCAGGCCAGCCACCAACCTGCTCTAGATCTCATTCTAGATCCTTTGATTCCAATCATCTTTCTTACTCTCAGTGTCCGACTCCTTAAGAACCATCATCACTTTAATGAAAAATGAAATAGCTGCATTGATAAATAAGTGTGCATCAGAATCTTTCTGTTGGAACTTGTGAAATGGTACTTTAGGTACTTGAAAACCTATTCTCTCTTCTCTCCCCCACCCCTCCTACTCTAAATGAATATCAAAATAAAAATCAAGGTTTTGACATTCTCCAACCTCCCTTTGTTGTGGCCATAGGTCTTCTGCCAGCTGGTGAGTCAACAACATAGCAGGTGTAGTAAATCTGCAGGGCACCCTTAGGCCTCCTTCCTAGCTGGGTGAGGAAAGAGTAGGGTTTCCCACAAGTGCAGGATGTTTAGGCAACTCTGTGGAAGGGAAGGAGGCTACTGCAGCCATCACCAAAAGCATCAGATCTCACCTCCAGACTGTGATCACCGGCCTGTCTTCGTCATGAGACCGCAAGAGCCTTTAAAACAAAGACCGCTTCATTTCTGCGTTCTAAGAGCCCGATTCAGTGCCTGGCACTGGTGGACACACACCCAGTTTTTGGCCTTACAAATAAAGTACTGCATACAATCTGGATGAATTGGTTTCTAAGATAACCATAGCTTGAAAACTACACATAAATTAATGAATCCAAAAATGATAGTTTCAAATACTACAAGCTGATTTCAATAATTCTTAGTATGTTTAATCGTAGGTATGAGAAACTACTAATTGGGATTTACTGCTGTAGGAAATACAGGGCTTCCGAGATATAAATTTTCATGAGAAACTTTTAAAGTTGTTTTTTCTATATTTTATTGCTTTGTGTTTCTTTTTTCTTTGGTTGTGGTAAAATATACATAGCATAAAATTTACCATTTTAATCATTTTAGTGTACATTACATTAAGTGTACAGTGGCATTAAGTATATTCACAGTGTTTCGCAAGCATCACCACTATCCACTTCTAGAAATTTTTCATGGTCCCAAACAGAAACTTTCTATCCATCAAACAGTAACTTCCTATTCCCCTTCCCCCTTGCCCCTGGTAACCTCTATTATACTTTCTATCTCTATGAAGTTGCCTATTTTGGATAACTCATGTAAGTGGAATCACACAACATTTGTCTTTTTGTGTCTGGTTTATTTTATTTAGCATAATGTTTTCAAGGTTCAGACACGTGACACGTATCAGAATACTAAAGGTCTAAATCAAGGTAGAACCAATTAGTTTACCACATTAGCTCATCTGCATAAATGGTAAAGAGAATATGATAAATGCCATGTATTAGTCTTCTCTGTTCTACACATACTACTGAAGTATTATATATTGAATGTTGTAAATACTTTTGCCACTTAAGAGAAAGTAGACTCTCTTTCCATTTCACCTCCAACTGATAAGACCATTACTGTTGGTAAAACCCCGACAGGGAAGAAAAGACTTACACAAAAATCCTTGGACATCCTCTGGGCAGCCGTGATCTGGCCAATCAGTATATTGCAAATGCCACACTGTCCTTTCCTGCCCAGACAAAAGGTGCTTGACCTTCAAGCCTGTGGTTGCATAGCAACCGGAATCTGTTCGGAATTTTGTGGTGACCTTGAACTTGCCATAGGTGGCTGAGCTGTGCTTGGAACCCAGTTTGGGCCAATATCGGTGGCTCTTGGTTCGTCCGCCTTCCTGAATCAGACACAGAAGCAAAATTGGACATGAGTCAGGGGAAGCTCTTATCCTCTTAATCTTAAAATCTAAGGACAGCGGAAAACTTGAATGGCTTCTAAGGCACTGACTCAGTAGCATCATGCAGTGTCTATCCCAGAGTAGATACCCATACATTTTAGCTAACACCAATAATAAGATTTACCACACAATTATATCAATGGAAAAATCTGAAGATTCACAACTGGGCTGCAGTTGAATGTTAGAGAGAAGAGCCAGGGTGAAGACCAGAGGCGGGAACAAGCTAGGTGTGTTCAAGAAACAGAAAGGTCTTCAGTGTGGACGCCAGAGAGGAGGTTAGAAGGCCTCCTGGTCCACGGTAGGGCATTTGGATTTCACCCCACGGTCAGTGGGAAGCCATCCAAAGGTGATGAAGTGACCTTAAGCAGAGGAGTGACAGATCCCAGTAATCGTTCTAGGTCACGCTTCTCACGTCGGATGCTCGGCCCTGGGCTCTCTCTGTTACACCCCACCAGCCACTGACACTGTCTTTATCATCTAGTGTCAATCTCACATTTTTTTCAGCCTGACCCATTTGTTTTAGTTCCACTGACAACTGAAGCAGAGGAAAACTGGCTTTACCCCTCTTCTCTCTCCCTTAATTTTATAATCTTTTCTGGGGGTATGCATTCTCAACCATTTACAAAATGGGGTCTATTTTAAAGTTTTGCACAGTTTTGATATCATAGGAGTGGGAGCGGGGGTGGAAGAGATGGCAGCTTAGAAGGGGACCCAGCGGAAGGGGGTGGTGCGAGAGGAGAAATGCCCAGCGCACGGAGCTGGGGGAATGAGTGGCAAGTGAAGGCTGCCTGCTCACAAAGCAATACAGCTTTGGGTGATACAAGTAATCTTGCCCTGGTTCTTTGGGTTGAATTGAGTCTTCTTAAATTTGAAGCACACCTGCCTCTTTTATTTAACCATCCTGTGAAAGGTTTATCTGAGGCCTTTAATTTACGTAACTGCTGAGTACCTACATCAATTACAGATTTCAAAAGACGGTAAGTCTCTGGCTGCCTCACAGATCACTGGATTTTGTTCCTAAGACTGGTCCCTTCTTGTCACTCAGGTTTTAGCTCAAATGCAACCTCCTCAGAGGGCCCCGGGCTGCAGTCTAATCCAAAGTAGCCCCACAGTCACCCTCCATTCCATTACTGGTTTCATTTTTTTTCCATGGCACTTACCACTATCTGAGCTGACTTTGTTCACTTTTTACTGTAAATCCCGCTGGGATGTAAGCTCCCTGGGGACAAGGGTCATGCCTGTTGTGTTTACCCTGGGGTCAGCACAGCTGGTAAGTACACTGTTTTAAGTTGAATGAATCCCTCCCAAGGATGTAATTCGATAAAGTTATAAAACTAGAGATTTTCAGGAACATTTACTCTTTGCGGGAAGGTGGGACAGAAGGTCAGCCTAGAGAAGTACAGCTGGCCTGAAAGAGACCAAAGTCTTTCATCACTACCTTCTAATGGGCTGTTCTGGAAAGCATCTGCTCAGAAGAGTTAATGAAGGGAACATGACTTTTTTTGTTTCCAGTTCTTTCTGCTCCCCATCCTTTTAAAGTTGTTAGGAAAGGGATATGCAATACCATACATACGGTAAAAAACAAACAAACAAACGAACAGAAAACTCTTTTTCCTTAAATGACTTCAAAACATAAGTTAAAATTTAATGAAAGGAACAAAGGGAAGTGGTTAAAATAAAATTAAAATAAAAAATCGAGACTGTGACAAGAGAAGAAACCCAAAACGTCTTCCCCCAAAGACAGCAAGCTCCAAGCGAACTGCTAGACGGAATGGGGGTATATGCCAGTTTTTGGAACATCACGTAGACTTCTCTAGTTACAAGGGAAAAACTATGTTTGACTTGGCAAAGGAAGAAAAAGATTTTTTTTTTCTCTCCCCAAAGAAAGAGGCCTCTACAGGAACAACAGCTCTGGTCTCTTTTCAGCTGATAAGCAGGAGGGCATGGGAGCCGGCCACGCCCGGGGTTGGGAATATATGCCAATTTACCCAGAGCAGCCCCAAAGTTCTCAAACTCCAGCGGAAAGATCATTGCTTTGTTTGGCACACAGAAGTGAGCTGGCTGAACTGAAGTTTGGTTCTTTTTTTTTGTTTGTTTAATTTTAGTTCATGGTGATCCAAGGAAAAGAGTTAAGAGCTGGATAAAAATGGGGCATAACAATAAATTATCTTTGGGAAACAAAACAAACCTATATGCAAGTAAGGAAAGGAAAGAGATGCACGTCAGAGAGAAAAGGATTTGCAGAGAAATGGTGCTGCCGGAAGGAGGATGAGGCAGCGAAGTCGTAGACACAAAGCCCATCTTCTGCCCCCCGCCCCCGCCGGGACAGATGGCTGTACGGCCGTTCCCCCTTACCTCCTCTGCGGTGACCATGGCGATCACATTCGCTCCCTGCTCCCACACCATCTGCCAGAAGTCATGGCATGTGTGTGGCAGAGGCCCCTGAGTGGCGATGTAGTGCCATTCTGCCCCACCAACCACCACCTGGAAACCAAGGCAAGCATTAGTTAATAGACCCCAAATCCAGGACAGAGTTACATGCTGACCACGGGTCCTTTTGTAGCCACTTGAAAACCCTGAATAATATTTTTAGGCCAAATGTGTTAGTGCTATCATCAAAAGCCCTGACACCATGGACAGCTAGTGACAGCCATGCTCACATGAAAATACTTTTTGCCACTCAAGCTTATTACAATATACCTCATCATTTTTGGTCTACAACCCACAGTAATTATGTACAAACCAGTGCATATTAAAAACATATATATAAAACATATATATATATATATATACCCACATATACAATATTACATGAATATATGTATATAACCTAACAACTTGTTACAGAAATAATAGTTATGTTTCCAATGTGCAATGTACTGGTAATTGCCATTCTCTTCTCCTTTTTCTAGTCTATTCCATTAAAAAACAAAAGAAAACAAAACAAAAAAACCCCAAACTGCTCCCGACTACTAAATTGATTTCATATACCACTACCATATTGCAGTCCACAGTCTGAGACACAGTACTCCATGACATCCTTTTAAATAATAGAAAAATCTACCATGAAATAACACCCCTCTGGGAGCAATGTCTTTCTACCACTGCCCTGGTTATGAAGTGTATCCTAAACCTCTGTTGTACCCGCTACTCTGTACCACATACAGCAGAGGTATCGTGCATGTACTTAAGCCAACAGTACATGATATTTTATCATCACCTTCCCCTCGTACAATACCACAGCATCCAACTGAACTTTGGAGTCATGAGATGATTTTGGATAATAAAATCATTAACCCCACACAGCTCAGGGTGATCTTGGGAGGATAATTCTGCAGCTATAAATATTAGCAGCAGAGACGCATCAATAAAAAGTCATGCCTCAAGTGTGAAAGCTCATGCCATCAGGGTGAAATGGTGGCCTTTGGAGAGATTCTTTCTGGGTTTGCCTCCATTCCTGTGCCTTGATACTGCCAAGTCAGGCTCCCTTACACATTCACCAGTGGGGATCTCAAGATGGTGCTGGGGCAATGAAGTGATCACTTTTTGAAACTTTTTCTCTCATTTATTTTATGAAACTATACACTAACTTGATTCATACAAAAACAATGTCAGTTATTGTCTCGTTACACAAGGCATGTTTAGGTCAAAGCTGGCAAGCAAAATCCATTTTCCGAGTACCGGTGGGAGATAACACTCATATATTTGCTGGCCGGCTGGCTAGGAGTTTGGCTTATCTGTGGAATTGTGATTTTAAACATTAGCCTCTCTGGCACCCTACAATATAGGAGCCATAAATACTTCCAGAGTATGCTGCTGCCTAGGGCCTTTCAGCGTATTCCCGAGTATTGACAGGAGGGTATTAAAAACTGCATTAAAAACACAACCACCAAAGCTACTGAGGTAGATTTCACAGATGTGATTCCACGTCTGGAGCAAATAAATCTCTGTTCTGTGTTCACGGCTGCTTGGAACCCAGGGAGAAAACATTGGCAAGACATATAACTCTACTCCAAAAACACAAGGACAAGTTCTTGCAAGCTCTCTGGGTCTATTAAACACACCCGTGTCTAACCCGGATCCACAAGATGAAATGTGGGCCTCAGAGAATATGGAGGAAGGGATGGAAGGGATGTTAAGAACACCCACTGGGCACAGTGCATGCAGACTGACAGCTTTTTCCAGAGAGCAGACGGAAAATGGGGGAGGCGTTCTGGCCAAAAGAAGAAGACAGTATATTGCAGCTGTGGAAGATTTTCTCAGACAGTCTAGCAAGATGCAGCCGTGTGATCTGCATCTTTGCATGCATTATTTTGGTCATTGTTTCCTTATTTAAACTAAGCCCATGAAATTCACCACCGTCAGTTTCCTTCAGAGTTTCCTGGGGCTCAGTTTTTTACTGTTTCATTGTTTTGAGAGTTCTCACTCTGAAAAATAAGAGTAGAATACACAATATGATCCATGAGAGTTGACGCCATCCTATTTCCTTGGACAGGACTTTCTGACACTTAAAAAATATATGTGGTTATCTATGCTGGGTGAACAAAAACACTACACCCAACCATGGTACACTTCCCATATTCTGTATCAAAACCATTAGAACTGATACATAGGCCAGACATCTGGCTGTATTTTAAAGGCTCAAAGGAACCTACCTATAATTTGGCTACAGTTGAAAAGTCCAATGACGAAAGGAAATAATGCCAGACACAGATTTTCTAAGGTTATTGATCACAGCAGACTAGGAATCTGAACCTTGTATTGTTTTGAAAAGCGTCCTGTAACAACTGTTAACAATTATACTAATTCAATTCACATTAGTACACAGATAATTCCCCTACTTCAGAGGTCAGAGCAAATGGTGACGTTCTAAACAAATGTGTTCTGTCATTAGGAGCCCTGAGGAAGGTAAGCTATTTAGGAAACACTTCACTGCATGCACACATGTATCCATAACTCTAAATTCTAACTGAAGTAAAGCTAAGCTGACCAATTTTAAAGTCTATGAAATACTGAGATATGAAGATTTGGAGTATTTGAAATAGTAACAAACATTTAATGACCCAAATGCACTGAATAATGGTGGCACATTTTGCAAGATTCATTATCAACCACACCGTTATGGCTTATGTTGAAATTAGCCCACTCTTCTAAACATCATGCAAATTTGGGACTTCAGCTCTAAAATGCCTAACCAGTAGTATTACAAGGGAGAAACAGTAAGTTTCTGTTGCTCTTGAACATCATAACTCCAGTGACAGAAACATAATGCCTGTGATTTCCAAATTCTCCGTCATCCGCACCTTACACACCGAAAGGGCTAATCCTCAGCCTTCCCTGTGAGTTTCCGGGAGAGTTACAACACACAGAGAGAAGAAGAAGTTAAACCCTCTGTAATGAGCGAGCTTCAGAAATAGCTGACCTGAGGTTTTTCTTCCCTGAGGCCGCTGGGCTTCCTTCTCTCTGTGCAGTGATAGGCATGGCCTTCCAGTTGACTAAGAAAAGCACAGGAGTTCAAAAACACTCCCTTGGGGTTTGGGGACAAGCCAAGATGCACAGTGGCAGCCCGTATGTGTTCTCCTCCCTGCCCTTTTACCGTTAACCCAGCAATCTTCAGCCAGCCTTCCCAACACGCCCCTCTCCACCCCCCAACTTCTTACCTTGATGTGGGAGGCGTTAATGTAGCCTGTGTTGTTTTCTTTGGTCGGTATGAGCTCTACGCGGTTCTCCTCGTAGGGGACGACCTCCCGGATACGGCTGCGCTCAGCATTTTCTGGCAGAGCTGCTGTGCTGAAAACGCCATTTGCCTTTTTCTTTGGAATCTGCTCATATTCTGTGAACACCATCCCCTCTTCGAGCTTCTTCTTCAGGGTTCTGAACTGCAACAGAAATTGATCTCCAGCTCTCTGAATTATCTTATCCAAACACTCCAACCAAACCACCAGATTTCTTCGAATATTTACAGTGACAGTGTTAATAAGTAGTTTCAAGATGGACAACTAATATTTGATTATTTGGTCTCATTACCGACCATATTGCTCGTATCTCTTGTCCAATAACCAATTTCCTTCTCACTCATACCTTAAACAGAACGAATCTGCCAGACCAGGCAAGAGTTGAAATTCAAAATTAGTATTTTCGTTATTATCACCTCTGTTTAAAGTTCTAGTGATAAGGAGATTGTTCATCTTAATTACCCAGACGTCCTTCCCTCCACTTACACAGCTGTTCTTAGCTAAATTTTAAGATGATACTGGTCTACAGTCCTCTAGTCGTGAGGATTAGACGCCCCATCTTTTATTTTTCCCACGGTCAAGCTACTAATAACAAAACATGGTATTAATTAGATTAAATGATCCCTCTAAAGACCCTTCTGGCTCTAAGAGCATGCTAATACTTCATACATGCTGGCAAAACCTAAAACCCTAATCTTATTGTAAAGCACTCTATTACATTTACATGACCCGTTTCTTAACCTGACAGCAATTTCAGGAACTAAAAGAACGTGTTTCTTCACCTCTGAAACACTACCACGCAACTTCTGGTTACTTTTCCCACAATGCATTACCCTAACAATGATAAATCAGCCATATGTTATAGCCAAACAAGGGGCCAGTGTATTAAAGAATTCTATAAATGCGTGGGTAAAAGAATCACTCCCTAGTAAAGGGTATTTGTTCACAAAAATCACAGAAATTGAGAGCTAGAGCAACCGCTTAACTTCTTCATTTTGCAAAAAAAATAAAGACACAGGCCCAGAGAAATTGAATGACTTGACCAAGGCCACACAGCTAGGTAAGGGCTGGTGTCTTTAGGGGTCGTCATGGCACCAACCTGACAAAGAAACATGAGATGTTGAAAAGGATCAATTTAATACAGCACAGACCAGGTCTTGCTAAGCTTCAAATTGAAGAATGAATTCGTCAAACACGCCTTCGTGCTGGCATGTCTGGGCGAGGAGAGAGCGTTGGAATCCTAAGACCACAGAGAATGAGTCACATGTTTGACAAGCCCAGTGCTTACCCTCTCATCCATGGGAACTCGGGTGGCATCAACGCGACTTTCTTCCCGCCCCGAGCCCCGAGCAACCGAGAGTCCGTTCAAGGCTGCCAACATCAGTGGCCTCTTCTGTGCCTCCAGGCCTGCCATCTTCTGCTTCTCTAGATTCTTGCGGCAAGAAAAGGCATGTTCTCATTGTGTGTAATACCAGGAGAATGCTGGAATGTGTTTTAATCTCCCCAAATCTGTAACTCCCCAGCCAAGGAATGCAGACAGTCACCATTAGCAGGGCAAATTCAAACACAGTCTTCCCATTATTCCCACTGTGCTGGAGGAAGCTGGTTCCTCCAGGCCTCCTGAGCTTTTATTTAAAATAGAGGAATGAACGAACAAACAAACAAGAGCAAAGACTCCACACAAATACATCCTGCCTCGGGGCTCACAAGAAAACAGTGTACAGGAGACACTTTAGGAAGATAAGGGCTGAAGGAAGACAGGACAAGGAAAAGAGAAACAGAGATTCATGAATAATCAAACTTAATCACAATGATGCACCTTTTATACAGATTAAACAGTAAAAACCTTATAAAAACTGTTTGTTGCATTCTTAAGAGGTTGGATACATACATAAATAGACAAAAACCTTCCCAAGTTTCCATTCAGAGGGGCTCAAGACTGGAGGGTGTTAATCCTGTATTGACTCTCTCTGGTCCCCGGGATATCATCCCCAAAATGAGAGCTGCTGTGGTTTTAGCAAAGTCACTAATACCACAGCCTGGGGCCACCTGAGATGACCTACCCAGCAGCACCCTTCATGCTTCATCCAGAAGACCCACAGGAATGGACACCATGGCTCCCAGGGACCATGGTGGAGCAGCGGTGACTGAGCCACGGGAGAACACGGATCTAGGGGCCCAGCAGACCACTTAGCGGAAGGTTCGGTTGTTAACACCTGGCCCTTGTTTGTGGCTTTGCAACTCCTCTCTATCTCACCTGCACAGACACTGAAACTGGATCAGTCGGGGCTCCTGTTACTTGGTCTATGGCTGTGCTTCCTCACGCCCTCTAAACTGATTGAGGTACCAACAAACCTCCATTTACTCATTTCAGTCAAGACAATGGGAGCATTTCCCACCAAATAATCTTGTCTTAGAAGACAAAAGCACAGAGAGACTTCATAAAGCATAGAAACAGATGAGTTTTACAGAGTTTATGATTTTGATCCACACGAAAGGGAAACCAATTTGCAGGTTCCTTTGGTTGCCACAGATGAAGGGGTCATCTTATTCCTGTTTTCTTTTTTCAAACCTTTAGGTATTCTTTTTCTTAGTCTGTCATTTAGAAATCTACTCCCCAGAGAAGTATCTTGACGGAGCCATGGTGCAGATTATTCTAATTGTGGGTGTAAGGGGATGGCATTACACCCCTACATGCATCCCCTCAATGCCACCTACAGTCAGAATGGAGCCTTGGGAACTATATCCAATATCCTGGGATAAACCATAATGAAAAAGAATATATATGTATATAAATATATCCGAGACCCTTCGCTGTACAGCAGAAATTAAGCACAACATTGTAAATCAACTATACTTCAATAAAGTTTAAAAAAAAAAGAAAAGAATGGAGCCCTGGCCTTTGTGAGTGATTCTGTCAATGAGATGCTTGGTCCAGTGACAGGGCTGACCCATCAGACAAACAAAAGGAGCATCTCAGAGGAAGATTAACAGAAAGTGAGAAAGGTCCCAAAGCTATAATATTCTTAAGAATGGCCCTGGTTTCTCAACCCCGGACAGATTTTGAAAGTTTTGGATTTAAATGTGCTGGTGTGTGTGGGGGGGGGGGGGAGGTGTTAGTTTACTTATTAGTTTGTTTTTGTGAGGGAGAATTTTCCCCCCATTATCTCTTTTAGCTGAGAATGTTTTACTCCTCCGCAAAGTTTTAAGACAGCAAATTTTTTTAAATAAATGGTCCTGAGGTCTTCCCAACAGTCCTTCTGCTTCCTTCCCACCTGCACCATAACGTAACCCCAACTGGGCCCAAAAGCCCAAAGAAACCTATTTGTCTTTCTTGGGAAAGGATTACTACTTACCTAATGAAAACTGAAACCCCAGGGATAACCTATTTCTCTTAGCTCCTCCTTACTTATCCTATCAGCTTATTACCAGAGATCAAAAATAATTAATTCAAAGATCTGATTTGGCCTTTTCTCTTCCCAGTACCTGATTTGGGGTTAGGTGACTAAAGACAGTGAAATGTCTTCCAGGCAGCAGTAGGAGACAGGAGAAGCTATCAAGACAACAGGCCTGAACTATCCATCAAATGGATAAGCACCTCCAGAACTGGAGGGAGAGACTTGCCTGCAGGGCAAATTCTCACCATAGCTGTCTCCCTCCAGTTCCTATTCGGTTACATTTTCTCATTTTCTTATCCTAGGGAGGCCCTGACGGCCTTCTCTTCTTAGCCATGCCTAACAAGCCAGGCAAAGGCTACCCATGGTGGCGGGGGACAGACAGTCATCTGAGATGTGGGGAGGTCATTGGGGTGAGTTTCTTCATAAAGACAATAGAGACCCATCCCAAGCATCAGTGCCAGTGGTGGTCACCACCTTGTCTGGCTCACTGAAGACCCTCCAAGTCCTACTCTGAGGTTGGGACACCAGCCAAGGGTGGCAGCCCTTGAGCTCACAAGTGTGTAGGACTTGGGAAAAAATCAGAGAAGGGACTTCCCTGGTGGTCCAGTGGTTAAGACTCCATGCTTCCAATGCATGGGACCAGGATCTTAGCTGCTGGTCGAGGAACTAAGAACCCACATCCTACGAGGCATAGCCAAGAAATAAACATTTTTTAAAATTAAGAAAAACAAAGAAGAAGGTACACATTTAAAAAAAAAAAATCAGGGAAAATGACATAGGGCTGGGGTAATGATGTTCCTGAACTAGTTAAGGGGTAAAATTGGCTATTCGCTCTTACCCAATGGATGGGATGGGAGGACACGTGGAAACAGTGGAAAAGGCCCTTGCTCCTTTGTGATAATGCCTGAAGCACTATGTAGGGAACCAGTGCCATGAATTTGGCTACAGGCTTTTGTTTAATACAGGTAACAAGAGAAGAGAATGAATATGACCTAAGTGAGGCTAGGGGACTATGCAGGCAGCAGCTGAACGCTTAGATTGATGGGTTCTTGATACTGAGTTGTGTTCTAGGGGTGTGAGGCCAAGAAGTGCTGAAAATCCCTTCCTACCAGTGATTACTTTTCCCAAACTCAGAAAGCTCTCACCCCAGGCACCCAGCCTCGCATCTCATTCCAGCATCTCATTCCATCCCCAGGAAAAAGCTCCCCCCACCAAGGCACCTAGCCCCGCATCTCAGCCCGACGGTCTTATTTCCCACAGGCACAGCACAACTTTCACAATTTCCCTCTAGGTGGAAAAAGTTACGCCTGTACCAACTTCTTAGCAATACTCCACGGATGGCCAAAACCGTGAGGCTAAGGATGTTCTTAAGGTTTGTCTAAAGTAGGGACGTTGCTATGGACTAGACTCCTAAACCGAGGGACTTGGCTTCCTTAAAACTTCGGCTCTTTACAGGTTAATTCCCTCTGGAGGCCTGGGAGACCTATAAATGAAGAAAGTCTAATGAACTCCATCAAAGCCCATTTTAAGTTACAACTGCTCTGGAGTTCCTAAAATAAGCCCCGGCTACCTTATAGTTCAGCTGTGGTACATGCAGAGGAGAAGTCAGTCTAGGTTTGAATGGTTACATTGAGAGGATTTTTAAACTTTTTAAGGGAGTGAATACCTCCAGGACAAGTGTGGCGTGTGTATAAATACGCATGTGTGAATTCTTGATAGAATAAGAATGGTTAATGGAAGCTCAACGGTAAACTTCTGGGTTTATCGTTATTCTCTTGGATTTGTGTTAAACATCTCTCGAAAGAAGATATGAACATAAAGCTGGATACGTCATGGACAATATTGATGAACGATCCTGACATCTAGATCTACACAGAAAGCTGTGCTCTGAAGGGATGCTGCTCTTTTAATATCTAATTGGGGGGGGGGAATGCTTTCCCCTGGAAAAACCAAAGTACCAGGAGATGGAGGAAGGTGAGCTCCTGGCAGCTCATGCAATGGGAAGTCTGACCCTGAATAAAGAGCAAATGCTGGCCCAGACACCAATCTCAACACCACCGACCTGTAAGATCCTGACTCTCTCACAGCACTTTGCACCAAGCACACCTATGAGGAGCCATGAATGAGAATGGAAGGTTTATGCGAAAACAAAGTTCTGTGAAATGAAACACTACCTGTTTATATGCCAAGTGATTTTTAAATCCCTACCACATTCCCTGAATAAGGCTTGCGCTTTCTTCAGTGCCCAGAGGATGTATGTCTAAATCATGGAAAAGGAGCAGAGGGGGCTGCGGGAGAGGGTGGAAATCAGCCCGTTTAACTGTCCCTCGAAAGATGCCCTGGGAGAGGAAGCCACTTACCCGGATCATCATCTCTCTTTCTATAATGCTGTCCTCCAGGGAGAACATTTCAGACACAGGTCTCTCCTTCACAGGCTCTTTCTTGACCCGCTCCTTCACACTTGTCAGGTCGGGCTCTGAGATGGATGGACCAAGAGAGGACCCGTTGATGGCCATCTGGTCAGCCCGGGAGATACTGATGGCCTTGGCTGGCCCCTGCCTCAGGACCCTGGCCCTGGCGATGGCGGGAGGAAGGCACACCTGGTCTTGCCCCAGCGCCCCGTTGCTCACACTTTTCCTGGGTCCGGGGTACTCGGGTGGGGGCTTGTTTGGAATGCGGGCTAAGGCGGCCTGTAGCTGGGCGCTGTACTCCATCTTCTCGCGGAGCACGGGGATCTGGGGCACTGGTTCCGGAGACTCCTCTTCTTCCTCCTCGCTCTCACTGCTGTGGATCAGCATCGTGGCATCCGAGAAAGTCTTCCTGTGGTGATACTCGGGAAGCTGGGGGACCTCGTGGCTCCCCGGCACCTCCTCGGGTGGCCCCGGCTCTCGGAGAGTGTTGCGGCGGGCCATGGGGATGTTTAGCGACTTCAAGGTCATGGCTTCCATGCCCCGCACCATGCTGCTCATCACCTCCAGGCTGTGGCGCTTGTGCACCGTGCCATGGTGCTTGGTGGCCGTGAGGGGCTCGCTCACCTCCTGGAGAGACTGATGCACCACCGGGGAGCTGTCCTCCTGGAAGGTCTTCACGGACAGCTGCACTTTGCGAGTCACCAAGTCGGGGCTACTGCCGCTGACGTACTTGTGGCGGTGGCTGGCGAGGTCCGGGGTGCTGGTGGCGGGGCGGGGCCGTGGGTAGGGGGGTGGTGGCCGGAAGAGATAGTTTTTGAGCATGTGGGCCGTGTTGTAGTTATAGGTGCCCTGGAGCTGCATGTTGGCCAGCTCCGGGGTGCTCACCGTGTGTGAGATGGCGCTTGCCCCGGGCTTGCTTGGCACCGTGGTATTCTTCGGGTTGATCTGGTCCGATGGACTGACCAGTTTGTTACCGTAGCCCCCCTGGGGCCCATAAGGGACAGTGTAGGGGTGCCTCTCCCGCATCTCGGGCTGGCTGTACACCAGATCCTCTGGCTGGTTGTAGGCGTGGGTGTTGATGATGTTGAGGTTTCGCAGGGACTGGCTCTGGCTGTCCGTGTGCACAACCCCCCTCTTCATCTGCCGCATGACTGTCTCATAATCGGGGGTCGGCCGGTAGGATGGCACGATGATGGCGCTGTGCCGGTGGCTCGGGATGTAGTCAGCCCGCATGATGTCACTCCCAGGGATGCTGAGGTTGGAGGACACGGGAGACGCCTGGATGAAGCTTTGGGAGCAACTGAGGGAGTTGACGCTGTGAATGCTACACACACTGCCATTGGTGACGGTGCCATTTATATAACTTAAGTCCAGGCTGTTGTGCGAGTTGCAATACAAGGCTTCTTCATTCCCATGGAAGATGCTGTCTGCAAGAAGTCACACAGAGGCACGTGAACGTCCACACCATCCTGCTTCAATCAAGTTCATCCTCACACTTACAGAAGTCATAAAAAGGGAAATCCCATGGTCTCCACCCACATATTCCATGGAAAAACTGGTAATTTCTTGGGCAAGATGCCAACATATGGAAGGAACATTTTAAAGGACACTAAAAAGAAAAAGTGAATCTAAACAAAGAAAACTATGCACATACGGAACCGTTATCACCTGGGTTAAGTTCTCGATTTGGCCACGAGCTTTTAAGTCAGGCACCAACAATGGCCCTCACATTGGGAGACCTGTCCCCTTGTTCACGGCTTAGCGACAGAACTGGATGTTTGGGTCAGGAAGTCAAGAACTTTAATAGGGCAATAGATTTGAAATTACTGAGTACTGGGAGCTGATCTTCCTGACTGCAGTGGGAAAACTCCCTGTATCTGAGGGACTGCCGAGCATCCGTCAAGGCACGAGGCAAATAACACAGTCAGGATGTCAGCATGCGTGGCTGCTTCATTCTGATCGGCAACCAACGGAGGGCAAAATAAGAATCAGGAGGTTTTTTTAGCCACTGCCTAAAACCCGCCTCTAGAGTTGGTTTCATCACTGAGGTCAGTTTCACATGAAAATTAATAATACTTTAAAGAGGTACCTAAAGAGATAAAAAGCAGATTTCTAAAGTAAGGCCCATTCTGGGTGTCCAGTGTTCCTTTAACACACACATACACAGACACCCCTAGGCAGGCAACCTCTTGCCAACACACTTTTCTGTGGGCAAAGTATATTCATTTTTTACACTATAGATTTAAGCATGAGCAGAGTAGAAGAAAGCAAAGGCAGAAAAGATTAAAAAACAGAAAAGGTGACTGAAAACACTTGGCTGCCTGAAGAGGAGGGGTGGGAACACAGACCAGATGAGATGATACAGGCAAGAAAAACTAGGAGAACGTGTTGCATTTATCCACCTTAATGGGGTTTGGTGCCCTCCCATAGAAGCAGGGTAACTCTGCTAGTCTGCTTATAAAAAGTTGTATTTTATTAAATTACATCATCTTGATTATCTTAGTCTCCATGCTCACATTTAGACAGTACAGAAAGATTCAAAGCAGCTAGCATATGATAACCCGGAAACAAATTATCCAGTTACCATACTGTCAACATCCAACGTTTAATCCCATTCCTTTTTTGAGATACAGTTAGTGTAATGATTACAGAGCCTGGCTCAAGAGTCAGGATACCAATCTTCGTATCCAAGCTTCCCAGTACCCTTTCTGTACCCCAGTTTCTGTATCTGTCAAATGGAAATAATAACAGTACGTATCTCCTAGGTCTATTTTGAGGATTAAATGAGACAATACAGTGCAAGTGCTCAGAACAAGTGCTTAAGGAGAGGAATTGCTCTATAAATGCTCATTCTCAGAATAATTATTATTGGAATGGGTTTTTTTTACACACTTTGCATGGGAGTGTTTAGGGAGAAAAAGAGGAATAAAACAGTTTAATAAGCGCACTGAGAAAGGGGCCAGTGGGAGAGATCGGAAAGGCGAGTTAAAATGAGGGGCTGAGGGCTTCCCTGGTGGCGCCGTTGTTGAGGGTCCGCCTGCCGATGCAGGGGACAAGGGTTCGTGCCCCGGTCCGGGAAGATCCCACATGCCGCGGAGCGGCTGGGCCCGTGAGCCATGGCCGCTGAGCCTGTGCTCCGCAACGGGAGAGGCCACAACAGTGAGAGGCCCGCGTACCGCAAAAAAAAAAAAAAAAAAAATGAGGGGCTGAGATTTTATGTGTATTTCTCTCAATTATTCTGATGCCTGTGTTCTCTGTCACCTTGAAAACCTGCTTGACTGTTACAAGCTCTCTGACACTGACAAGGAGGGTGAAGAGTATCCTGTGGGGCTTAGCTGTCACTCTCCTCTCTGTCCCACTTACAAGAAGGAAGAGGAGAAAGGAACTTGCTCACTGCCTTCCCCCAAGTCCCTCTGGAGTCAATTCTGGGGAAATTTTCCTCTCAGGAGTAAATGATATTCTACGCCTTTCACAAATCCAAGCTGTTGCCTGCTGCCATTCAGACAATGACAAAGTTAAAATGAAAGCATCACGGTCACCCCCCCAAAAAAGTCTCAGTACCCGTCACCAGTTCTCAACTTTGCGTCTTAAGAAGGGACAGCGGCAAGCCAGTTACCTTGAGAAGTGTGTGTTTCCGAGTAGTGTTCGCCACACTGGACATGCATGGGAGGCAAGATGTACGGTTGTTGCCGGGGCTGAAACAGAGAACACGGCACAGGTGGGAGGCCTTGGCGCAAACGGCCGTAACACTCACGAGCACCAGCGCGAGCACACGATGGTCCCCATCGTTCACCACGCCTGCAGGGAGGCACGCTGCAGATGCTCTGCCCTCCACACTCAACCCAACCCTTCCCTTAGCATCTGCCCCCCCGTCTCGTCACCAAGCTCAGGACTGGAGAAACAAGAAGCGGGGAAGGGGGAGGCTGGTTCAAGGTGAGAGAGAGGCTGTAATCAACATGAAGGCACCTATTTATAACGTATTTTCTAACACACCTGCAAGGCTCCCAATGCCTTTTTTAAAGGAATAACTCAGAAGATGTACTTTATTATGTTCCACCTAAAACAGAATGAGAGTAAGGCGGAAGCCTGTTTCCTTCTATTCAAAATTGGGTCCCTCCTGAAGCCACAAGTTCGTCCCCATCAGCACAGTTGTACCTATGACCCTAGTTCACAGTGCCACATCAGCCTCAAATAGGGACCGGGGAGTGTTAAGATGGGCCCACTTGCAAATTTATATAAAATCTGAGACGTGATCCCTAACAATGAGCGTGCAGTTCCCAGGACCACTTATTGACCCTCCCATTGCAGAGGATCCAGTTCAACCATCTAGCCCTTCAGTGAGGACTCTTCGCCATAAGACTCTTAAAGATGGACATTTAGACTCAACCTGAATAACTCAGTGCTGCAGAGGAGGGCGAAACTTCTAGAGAAAACACCAAAATGCTTAGAGAGCTTCACTACCTGGGGAGCTGAGAAAGGAAATATGATGAATGGCTAATACGGTCTAGAGCAAGTCATTTAACCTCAGTAGGTCTCAGCTTCCTGTCACTCAAGTCAGTCTCCTCCCTCCAACATTATCCATTTTATTCACGTATTAGGGTTCCAGGTGAAGGAAGAGTTTTGATATTAAAAACTAAACTTTAAGCTTGTAAACCACCAAACAGGATGATCTCTTATATTTCTATTTGATTATTTTAAAATTAATCTTATAGATATTAGTTTAAATATTACTGCTTTGGGACAGAGCTGAGATCAAGTCAAAAAAAAAAAACAAAAAAAAACAACCCCACAAAGCCAGCAGGGGTCACACTTTCTCAGTATTCCTCAACAGAAGAAGAATACGCAGAGTCCGAGGCTGGGCAAATAACTCATCTACTATTTACCTTTGCTACAAATAATGTTTAAGCATCAAAGGGGCAAATAAAGAAGGTAATGAAGACAAGAAATCCAAAAATGAAAGAGAATCAGGGTAGAGGAAGTAAAGAATTGAAATTAATCTAAGAAAGTAGTTCAGGGCATCAGCTCTTCTAAATATTCCCAAATCTCTCTTGGCTGGTTTTTGAGTAGCAATTTAAAAATATTTTTCCTCTTTTTGATAATACGTAATTCAACTCAATTTTTCCATGATTGGACAGCCAGTTTTTAGGTTTAAAAAAACAAAACAGAACAAAACAAAACAGTAGGGAGGGATTCATACAAGGGAACAGAAATATACAGCAAGGCAAAGTTGGCTCACCTCTGCCTTCTCTCGCTCTTATTTAAAAAAAAAAAAAGAAAAATCCTATAAGTAGGTGACTGTTTATGAACTGGCATAAGTCTGTAAGCAATACAAGTGAGAAACAGTAATAGCTAATCCTCCAAACACCATTTCAGGATTATTTATTGTCTCTTTATATATTTCAATATATTATTGTTTCTTTCCAGGTCTGCTAACACAAAAACAAATTAGATGCCACAATATAGGAGCTAGAAGGGCAAGAGAAAAACAACAATTAGAAGCCCTTGTTATCAGCCAGGAAGCCCAAAGGAGACAATGTTCTCTGGTTTTACTCTCACTCATCCCAAGGAGCTCTTGCTGAAATGGTTTAATCCTAAGGGGCAGAGGAAAGGGAGAAGCCAGGAATCTGGCTTCCTGCAGATTATCTCCATCCAAACAAAACAGGAAAGCCTCTGTATCTTCTCTAGATAATTAGGATGAGATCAAATCACAAGATAGCCCTAAAACACTTTGCTTCCCCTGGTGTTTCATGGACACAAGTGAACATTTATGTCACTAGTAAAGACATGTGGACTCTAAGGAAGGGAAAAGGAAAATCATGTCAACAAAGGAGAAGAATAAGGAAACCAGTGCCATGAACAAATCTGTTGATACTTCAGGGGAGAAGCCCAAAGCAGCCCTCTGCATCTCCAAGGCAAAGACCTCTTGTGAGATGTTGCGCATTAACACAGAGATTAATAATATTCACGTGGGTTTGCAGGAATTATCAATATTATGTGATAGGATGACCAAACTCTAGAATTCTAAGAGTTCATGTCAATGCATTTTCCAGAAGAAAAAGAAAAAATTCCTAAAACGGTTCCTTTTAAAAGACAAGTGGAAGATGTGCTATAGGATATATACTGCGTACAAAGAAAAATTCCATTTTATTCTCCCATCAACTCAAAGGAACTGTTCAACCTACACACATTTAAAGGTCACATGTTTATTCTGATTTTGTGTAAAATAAATCATAATCTAAAATAAAAGAATTATGACGTAAAACAAGTAGACATTTTAAAGGAAACTAACTCTCCCACGTCTTGCTATGATATCCTCCTTAAGTAATTCTCAAAATAAAACACAGTCTAAGACAGAACACATGCAATGAAATGAGTTGTTTTCCCTTATTCACATGATCAGTAGAGCAGTTTTTAAAAAAAGGCTAATGGTAGGTAGAGAAGTGGATCAACTAAGATTCTGTTGGCCTTAAAATTAGAAAATTAATTAATTATTTTCTTCCCCACTGAATACTCTACCTAAGACCATCAACTAGACTCCTTCAATTTTTGCTCATTTAAAGTAGATATTTTCTGACTAGTTTATTAAACTCAGTCTACGGCAGTGAATACAAAAGGATTTGTGGAGATTATAACTGAAGACACGTCTATATGCAAAAATCAGAAATAGTGGATAAAGATAGACAGATAAAGATAGATAAAGCAAGTGGAAAAAAACACACAGTAGGTTGCGTGCTCAAGGAACATGGTCTCATCGGCCCAGACTAAAATTCATGGGGGTGAACCCTGAGTCACACTTAGAAAAGTGACGGACGTGGGTGGGCACAAGAGGGACAAAATGGGTGTGCATCTCACCTGCATAGCAGACTGATGCCCTTCTGTGTTCTCACCATATCTCACCTGGTCATGAGGTCACGACCTAGTCATGATGCCCTAGTCATCCCTCTCCTCAAGTTAACAACAAAGGGACACTCACACCCCGACAGGCAGAGGACTTGATAACTGAAGATTTCATACATACCAGGGAGGACCGGCTCCAGGTGGGCTGGCGTCTGATAGGTGGTGGAGAATTTGATTGTCTACGTGAAAAGTTGAAAAAAATGAGGATGGTTATTATTATTTACCATGTACAAGAAGACCAGATAGACAAGAGAGGGAGAAGAGGGGAAAGGAGAAAAGATGAGTTAAGAATTACAGCAAAACATAAACATTTTCTATTTCTGGGTGCTGAAGCTAAGAACAATTTCGATTTCTTTTTTGTCCTTTTTTTATTTTCAAAATGTTTGGAACATATGATACTTTTATAATATGTTTTACAAAGTAATATTAGAAGAACGAGGCTTATTTCTAAAGACAAATTATAAGGGAAATAAAAATCAACAACAGTCTTTTAGAGGTTGGAGAGTGGAGACCTCTGGAGAAGGATGCTGTTCAGATGAGGCTGATTTCCTAAAACTCCAGAGGGCTATCCCAAGTCCTCATGTAGCCCATGCTGAGGCTCTGAAACTATCAATATATACAGAATTTACTGTCTATGTGGGGTAGGGGGTATGCTTTTTAGAGAGTCCCAGTTTTTATCAGATAAGCGGTTAGGAACCTCCCGTACATGGTTGTGAAGAAGAAAGGAATGATTATTACAGAAGTAGAAAGGAAAACAGAATTTCCTTAATTTTCAGTCTAATATGTGAGGCTCACTCATATATGTGATGCTCACTCATGTGAGAAGAAAAGGCCACCAAAGAATTACAAATACTCAGAACATTTTATGTTAAAGCCACTTGCTAAGAAATGATCAAACCAGAAGACTACACTTCTCAAAATAGTTTTGTTTTTAAATTCACCCTACAGAAGTCAACTATAGAATTCTTGTTAATGTCAAAGACACCCCAACAGATCAAAGGCAACAGCAGAGAACCGCAAAGATGTGACCTATAGGGAATCTGTTCAAAAGAATGGTGTGTGTGTCTATGCGCGCATGCGTGTGTATGCACGTGTGTACCCATAACAGATATGGTGGCTTAAATTGCTGCTCTCTAATTAGTGCTCTTCTGATTTACATTTGCAGACTTTGCTGGCAGACCTAATACTATATAGTCATCTCTTGGTATCCAAGGAGGATTGGTTCCAGGACCCACCTCGGATACCAAAATCCATGTATGCTCAAGTGCCTTATATCATCTGGCATAGCATTTGCATATAACCCATGCACATCCTCCCACATACTTCAGATCATCTCTAGATTACTTATAATACAATGTAAAGAGCTGCCAGTTCACAGTGAATTCAAGTTTTGCTTTTTGGAACTTTCTGGAATATTTTTTAATATATTTTGATCCACGGTTGGTTGAATTCGCGGATAGGAAACCCACAGATACAGAGGGCCAACTGTACTATCAAATATACTCTCAGACTCTGACAGTGGCCAATGGCAAAGACTGGTTTGAAAGAGCCTCCATCACGTAGAGAAAAAAGTCTGTCAGGACCTGATGCTCCAGCTCTAAAGCAGCACCTTCTTCAGCAGGAACTGCTCTAGGACAGTATTTTCACACTCTTGCATGTGTCCACTGGGGAAGTGGGAAAGCAGTTCTTCTCCTGCATTTACGTCCCGAAGTTCTTTGAAACAAAATTAAGCACCTTGGACGCCCCAACTGCTGATGTACTCTGCTGAGGAACGTCTTTTGAAGGCAACCAGAGGAAAGGCTATGATAGTGTGAGCCCGGCACGCTATATCCAAGGTCAGGTCACAGTTAAGTTCCCTCATCAGACTCCCTTTATCATCTTTATTTCCAAATTAAATTGGAAAACACACACATGGATTTGTGACATCTATTAGCGTCTTCCAAGCCTTCCTCTAATTACCCTGGCCTCTCATTTACAGGCGGGTGACGTGACCCAGAAGCACACGCAGGGTTAGCCAACTGTGTGAGCAACACAGGGCTGAGGATGACAGCAGCTTCTTCTCTTTCAAGTTGGCTCGTCGCTCTGCTACCTGCTTCTGAACACACTCCACATCTGACACGAAGGGGCGCCCCGGCAAATTGGGAACCACTCGGTTCCTCCAAACTCATGGCAGAGGTTGGAAAGGCACTGATGTCGGCCAATCCGTTCAGGAAGTCAAGCATTCACAGTCAATTTGCAAATCATTTTCTCCCTAGGCATATAGACTACACAAGACAGTCTTCATCATTAAAGCTCTTTCCCTCCCGCCCGGCTTTAACTTGCCCCTTTAGCTTCTACAAGGAATGAGGAAAAAGAGTCAGTATAAAAAGCGATCTACACCATCCCTAAAGCACAAGAATTGAAGCTGATCCAGGGAGAGGGTGGACAAAACGTTTACTTACTCAGTGCAGATTTTGTTTTGTTTGTAAAACTTGTGCCGTGTAGCAAACAATCGAGATATATACTTGGCGTTTTCGATATCATCCTTGGAGAAGAAGAAACGGGGGAAAAATAAACATTTGTTTTTGATTGTATTGGGCTGGCCAAACAGCTCGTTCGGGTTGGGCCATCCAAACCCGAAGGAACTTCTTGGCCAACCCAAATATGTGCATTTCACTAGGATTCCTCTGAGCAGGGACACGTCCCTTCCTCCCTTCATGTCAAGCACAAAATAACCCCCTGAGCCAGAAACCAGTGTGCTGAAATTCAGTGGCGGTCATGTCTATGAAGCCCACCCAAGGATGGCAGACAAATACTGTCTGCTAAAGACGTTGGGGTTACAGTGATGATCTGACGTGTCTTTACATAATGCTAAACCAAGTGCTTTGAAAATCAGTAAATGAATCAAGGCAGAGCGTAGCATGAACGCCAAGCATCATCAAACGGGAGGCAGGGAGGTGCAGGGAGTGTCCTGGCTCTCCAGTAGGCACTCAACAGAAAGGCAATCACCCAGTTTGCTTCAGATCAGGCTTGGATTACGATGGCAAAGAAAATCCAGACCAGCCAGTAAAAGAAAATACCATGCAATATCATCAGGGGTGACTAGTCAAGGGCATGCCCGACAATGTGATCCACCACATATAAGGCTGGTGGAGGAACCCAAACCCTAGAGTCAAAACTCAGCTTGAAACCCCAGCATTGTGAGCATGAGGTCCCCACCACCTTCCAGAAATGAGTGATGACAGCTCTGGGCAAGTACTGGAAAGTTATGGGTTCAACAGAATACTTATTCTGTCCTGACATGGAGAGCGAGGAGAAGATATTACAGGTTGAGAAGACAAACAGCAAGCTGCCTGTGGGACCCTGCCTTCACCTGCCCGTTTTGCTTACCGTGTGAAAGAGGGCAGTCTCCTCTTTGCTGATGAGCTCCACCAGTATAGTTGACTTGTTGTGAGTGATATTCCCCATGTCGTTCCACCTGCACAGAAGAAAGCCAACGGCGTTTGCCCAAAGACGTTCTAGGCGTTTATGACGGTATAGGAGTGTCACCTGCTATTCCTGAGTCTCATTTTACAAAGTATGATTTAACCATATTTTTAAAAGCTCAACGTCCCTCCTCTCAAAGCAGAAAAGGAAATAAAATGTAACACACATCTATTTAAATAGCTAAAAATCCTATGTCAACGACGTCTAGATATTGCTGTTAATAAAGTACACTTTCCTTTACGACCTAGGAGGAAAATATGCCAGAGACTTCCACTGCCTTGGTTTTCACGCTTCCAAATGGACAGAGCATTTCCCGTGATCCCCGTTTTCAATGCTGGAGGGGGACGTCATTTAAAAGTCATGTGTGGAATTCCCTGGCGGTCCAGTGGTTGGGACTCCGCGCTTTCACTGCCGAGGGCCTGGGTTCGATCCCTGGTCGGGGAACTAAGATGCCACAAGCTATGCAGCGCGGCCAAAAAAAAAAAAAATCATGTGTCTCCAGGAATCTAGGCTGAAGAATGCACAGAGGTTCTGTGTTGCGATGTACACTACAGATTTGATTATGCCACTTGGAAAAAATGCCTAGGGAGTGTTTAATGTGCCTACATTTTTGTGATCTAAACACACACATACGTTTCCTTCCCTTTCCTCATGAAGATCTTATCTAAAATGAGATACACAGAAAGAACCACCAGGCAAGGGAAGGTTAGCTCCTGCTTCCCATTCTACTTGGAGCCAGTTTCTAATCATCTCTTACACTACCTACCCTTCACTCTGTTCCGTGACCTGTAATTCCCTGCCCACCGCCTTCTCCCACCATCCTGCTTTTGCTCATTACACTTCTACCTCTGTCTGCATGATTCCTTTAAGACTCAGAAGAAGTCACCTTCTCCAGGAAGCCTTTCCTCATCCCCAAGCACCCACATGCCAGGAAAGAGCCTAGTGTAGTCCTCTATCAGTCACCACATTGTATCACAATTGTTCATGTCTGTGACCAGATCCCTAACTAAACCAAACTCGATCATAGGCCCTCATGCCCCGGGCAGAGATTCTGCTTTCTTCATCTCTGTATTCCAAGCACCAAGCACACCTGGCACACAGCATACAACAGATGTTTGCTGAAATAATGAAAAGTAATGAGGTTGTCTCACATCTGTATACAGTTCTTTTATCAACTCTCTTAGATAGACAAGGTGGCTATTTACGTTCCACTCTGGAGATGAGGCAATTCAGGCCAAAGGGGATGACTTAGCCTCACTCACTCTGCTCTTCAGGGACCGATGAGCTCTATACCTTCCAGGTTTTCCTCCGATCAGCTTTCCATTACACCAGTACCACCTGTTGTTACGTACATCTACAGGTGCTCTGCACAGCTGTCTGCTGACTTACAATTCCATTAGATCACATCCATGTGGACTCACAGCTATGTGCTCCTTAGTGAAGGTCTCAAGAGATAAGAGAGATGTGGTCTCCTCTAGCTCCATTCCCTCAAACCAACTGCCAAAATTCTGGGTCCACTCCGCACTCCACCATATGACTTCACCACCTTAGTGGCACAATTAACCTGACACTGTAGTAGAAGTCAATTCCCATCTTGTAAGGGTTTCAAGGCGAGCGCTAAAGGAAGCAGTCTAGAAGCAGTTCCTAAGGAAACTGAACAAAACCTGTGAGGCGCTTATGATCAGCAAACTTTCAAATTGCTATTTTCTACTTAATCTAGATAGCCAGAATCCAAGACGTGTCTGCCTCTCTCCTCCAGACTCAAGCACTGATTTAGCTACAAAGAACTGTGTGGGACAAAATGCCTGGATAGCTTTACATGGGCATAAAAGTGTATAGTTACAACTCTGCACATATTTATATATTTTATTTAATTTGTTGTAGGTATATGAGTTGACTGAATATGTCCAATAGTCAAAAAGCTTATTCTGTAGCTCCAAAGAGCTCTCTCTCCCCCACTCCTGTTTCAATAATGTCTCTATTCAAAGAGCAAGAGAAAACAAATGGACAAAAATACTGGCAGGGTGGGGACCTAGGAAAATAAAAGCCAATTAGGAAGCTTTTAGTGGGAAAACTTTCTCAAAATGACCTGCAGTAACTGCTGATCCAGAGAATACACGGCTGGCCAAGAACTCGCTTCCAGAAAGTGGCCCGTGCTTTGCCTCTAAGATCTGTCTTTGATCATCTGCCCTCCACGTGCAACTCTGCCTGTCAGATGCACACACTGGAAAGCTGTCTTTCCGGTAAATAATAGGCCATGCTGCCCTCCTAAATGAAAGCAAGCATGCAGTTTTTCGGACTGCTGATACTAGGATGGGATCTGTGGGCAACTATACAAAGCAAGCTCATTGACATGTAATGCAGGGGACACCCTGCCACTTCCCTATGCTGCTTCTACTCATGTTAAATGGAAAAGAAGGTTGAAGGGTCAAAATAATAAAAAGTACCCAAGTCCTTTCAGTTACGATAACAAATTGATTGCTTTTTCAAAACACACTTTCACAAATAGACCTCTTTCGTTAACAGAAAAATTAGTTTGCACTTTTCTAGCACATGTGGTTAGGTAGAGGGTTCAGGGCAATGGAAAGAAGCCAGTGTGGATTTAATGACTGGTCACGGGTAATCGAGGCAAAGGTAATCCCATGGGGACCTGACTCATGGAAGAGCCCATCTCCAACCAGACTCACAGAGTTTTGTTCCACTCTTTGGCTCAGTGGAGGTTCAACTACGCATTTCTTGGGGTCAGGTGGAAAGAAAGAACATCCCCCATCCCCAAACCCCCAGGGAAAGTGAGATGAATTTCTCCATAACCCCTGAAATCCTGCAGAGGGGGCGGATCTTATCAGAGTTGAGAAAAGCTCAACTCTGATCCATGGTCTGCCTCTTAACTCATCTGTATAACTTTCATACTCCATGGGGTTTGCTAGAGCACCTCGAGGGGAAAAAGGAGAAAGACAAATCAGACTACCTGTATATTACTGCTTGTCTTCCAATTCTGTTTCTCACGAAAATCCCCATAAAGAAAATGCCCAGGTGCACACTGTTTCCATGATTGTCCTGCATAAGATCAACAAAAGATCGTTGTGATGAAACAGATCCCCAGCGGTCTGGCAGCCTACCCATGGGGACCACAACCCGTTTCTCGCCCATACGTGGAATGAATCATAGAACGGAATGGGGGCAGAAAAGCCACTAGGTCCGAAGGGACGCATCCCACTGCACATCCTAATAGACTACATAGATACCTTTCTTTCTTTTATCTCAGTTTGTCACAATACATTTCCTGTTTGAGAAAGAATTTTAGGATTTTCTCAGATTTGTTGGCAGTTAAGATTTTCTCTTTCATGAATATCTATTAATATCTTTTCTAACCCTAGTTTTTGGTTTTTTAAATCAAAATTATACACACACATAGTTTGATTATATCTGCATACTGCATATGTGCAATTATTTACGCACACAGTTTGAAGAACTGAATCCTCTTTAGATCTTATTTAAAAGCAGCCTTGGACCCACCATTTCCTCTCCCTTAAAGGCATCCACTTCCACCACTTAAAACCCTAGAGTGTGTCTATTTGCATCCACCATGCTTGGCCTTCCAATTTAGAACCTCATGTTCCTCAGTTCTGGGATATTTTCTCAAATTACTACCTTCTGTTTCCCCTTTTCACTCCTTTTAGAACTCCCACTGTTCAGATGTTGGACATCTGGGCTGGCCCTCCAATTTTATCTCCTGCCTTCCACATTCAATTACTTTGGGTTTTTTGGGGGGGTGAGATTTCTCTTAATTTAATCTTCTAACCTATCTATTAAGTTTTCCATTTCTGATATCATATTTTAAATTTCTGAGAGTTCTTTTTTATTTGCCGAATGTTCCCTTTTAAAAGCACTCTATTCCTTCAAGAAGGTAATATATTTTAATTTTTTATCCTTGAGACTCATAGGATGGTATTTTGGGCAGGGGGCCCTTCACCCTGCAGACTCTCTGCCTCTTTCACACTGCTTCATTCTCATTGGGTTGACGTCTATTGTTCCTATTAGGGCATCATGGGGGTTGATGATCCTCGGCTGTCTATTCACGTTCCAGGGTGGGATACTAAATGCTGGTTGGGACCTTTGTGAGCACAGGAAGGGCACGTGGATGATAGGCTTCACTGTTGGGCAACCTGCTGGGCCCTGTCTGGGGGAACCCAGAGGTCTTCGGTCTGGTCTCTCGGTCCAGTCAGGTGCCTCCAGCCTCCCGCCTGGAAGAGTATAACCTGGCTTCCAGTGTTCTTGAGAGCAGAGTGGGAGCAAGGTTCAGCATCCAGCGAGTAAGCTGTCACCCAGCCTCCTGCTTTCACTCGGGGGACATCCTCTTTGTGGAGTAAGTGGAGGGCCGTACCCAACTAGGCCTAAGATGGAAAAGATAAACCCCTACCTCCCTCAGAACACTTGATCCCACTTAAGACACAAAGATGACAGTGTCCCTTCCCAGGGACCTCTTCTCAACGCCCCTCCCAAAGCTTCCATTCAAGTAGGCGTCTTCTAACAGAGAGAGAGAAAGGGAAAGACAACTGCTGATGGCAAAAGCCGAGACAGAAAGAACTGGGGAGGAAACAAGGGCCTCGGGGACTTCCCTGATGGTGCAGTGGTTAAGAATCCACCTGCCAATGCAGCGGACATGGGTTCGAGCCCTGGTCTGGGAAGATCCCACATGCCGCGGAGCAACTAAGCCCATGCGCCACAACTACTGAGCCTGCGCTCTAGAGCTCGCGAGCCACAACTACTGAGCCTGTGCTCTAGAACCCGTGAGCCACAACTACTGAATCCTGCGCGACTAGACCCCGTGCTCCGCAACAAGAGAAGCCCCCGCTCGTCGCAACTACAGAAAAGCCCACGCATAGCAACGAGGACCCAACACAGCAAAATAAATAAATAAATAATTTAAAAAGAGGGCCTCGGTAATTATGAGAAGTTCAAAGGTAAGCTGTATTACAGAAAAATCTGTGAGGGAAAAGAAGATAGGTGAAGTAGAGACGGGAAGAAAAAGGAAAATTCTGCAGAAAGACTTTTCTGGGCACGTTGCCAGTAGGTGGGTGCAGAGGTCTGGTGGGAGTGGATGGGGACATGGGAGGAGCAGGCCACCAGGGTGGGACAATGGAAAAAACACAGAACGGATACCCGTCAGAACAACTTAGTCAAGGATTGAGGCTCCAGACTCTGTATGACCCATTCCAGAAGCTCCGTCCCTCCATGCCCACGTGCTCTGACAATACAGGAGGGTGGAGGCTACGGCCAGCCCCGTGTTTGTGGAGGGGGAGGGGCAGACCTGTCAGGAAATGGAAGGGACCCCCGCCCTGAACCTTGAAAATTTTTGAGAAACCACTCATGGAAAAACCTACACTAAACATAAAGGTTCTTCCCTGGGACACATCCATAACACACTTTTTAAACCTTACTTGGTCAAGAAGGACCTATACTAACCCAAAGGGACCCCATCCCCATGTGCAGGCTGCCCCTGCATACTTTCCTGGTGGCTTTTTCACTTAGAGCTGACCCCATCACTGCCCACACGGCTACTGCTGCCCCACCCATCATCCTTGGGTCTCCAGGAATCATGTGGTCTGTAGGTGGTCACCTGAGTCATGAACAGATATGTGGTGGAGGAAGAAAAAAAGCAGCAGCCCAGCTGAGTTACACCCACTGGCAGTGAGTCAGCCGTGCCTATCTGCCCACTCGGACTAAGCTCTGGTATCTCCCTTGTACTTTTCCCACTAAAGGACAGACTAGAAAACACATCAGAACCAAGCACGGTGGATTTCAACACTGTCTCCACTGCCTCTATTTCCCACAGTTCAGAATTACTAAAGACAACACAAGCAAATGACCACCATGACAAAACCTCCAACTTCCAGGGCCTGAGAAGTCAGTTTTCTAGGAGTGGAGAAAAGTTTAGTCTGGTTTTCCAAAATGTCATGACTATATATGGGCTGGTGAAATGGAATTGGGATGCAGATGGCTTCATAAGGTATTATTGCAAGGAAAATGGATTACAACCCTATGAAGGGCAGCCATTAGAGAAGCAAAAGAAAATTAAACAAATCTAAAAAAGAGCCATTTAGCCTTTTTTGCAAGCTGCGGACACCCTGCTCGCTTCTACTTGATACACATGGGCAGTTCTCATTAAGGCAAATTGCAAGCGTGCAACAGAGGGGGAACAGAACACTTATACAACAGCCAGCGGAGCCAGTCTGGAGTGAAATGTTTATGCTGAAATTGCAGGCATCTCCCAAATTGCCGAGATGTGCCAGTTGCTTTAGGTTTCTGATAAAACTCCATCTTTTGTAAAGTGGGTCAGCAGAGAGAGGAAAATGAGTTTGGATGATGGGCTCAGCTCTGTAAATGACCTTGCACCATGAACCCCCAAACCACACCCACTTCAGGAGGTGGATCTGTTACAAAGGATGGGATGTGCTGTAACCGTTTCCTGGGCATAGTTTCCAGACAACACCAAAGGGGCTGGGAACCCACAACAGAGGCTCTGTAGAGCTGGAGAAATAAAGTATGATTGCATACAGGAAATGTTATTCTTCCTCACAAACAATTATCACTGCATCAGCCCAAAGAAGAGAAAAGAAAAGAAGCTCGGGCAAGAAAACTGCTGGGGAGGGTCTGTATTAAGGCACGTATGATGTTTGCTCCTTGTCTCACTGGAAGGCTGGATGTGGCCTCGATAAATTCTTGGCACCAAATGGGCTGGTGTTTGGTACTCACTCAGAAGGTTGTCTTACAGATGAGATATTCTGCTGAAGACCATGGAAAGCTTCAAACTCTCTCCGTTACGAAAAAGGGTTTGCTTTACCTAAAGTAAATTGGACTTGCCAGCTAATGCCACATAGCAGTAAGGAAGCCAAGCCTTCTGGCTCTCTGCTCTCAATCAACACTGGTTTTCCAAATGCCTGTGCTGTTCTGAGACGGCTGAAGCAAGGAGAGGGTATGCTACCTTCACAGGGAAGATTTCCTGTCCAAAGCCATCCAAACGTTCCACCTCATTGATGTACATAAGCTCAGCTTCTGCTGGCAGGATTCCACTAAAATCAAAAGAGCATCAAAGGAGGAAATGGTTAAGAGCCATAAAGTCAGTGGAAGATCCTACCCTCCTGGTGGCAAATTCCAGAACTGTGGTTTTAGTTCTGGGAAAAGCCATTGTCACCCAACCAACTGTGCAGGCATGATGCATTACTAAGTAATGCATTAACATATTCCTCAGTAGCCTTTTACTCAACAGGGAATAATAAGAGGAAGGTAAAATATTTAATTAAGAGCTACAGCCCTAAAACCACTAAATAATTATTCCAGACATCCTGGTGAATAATGCTGCCTGCTTTAAAAAAAAAAAAATGTATTTTTCTCCCACCTGGGAAAAAAATCTCCACTGTTAAAAAAGAAGGAAGAAAGGCAAAAGTTTCTGAGGATGACATTTTGGGAGCCAAGTAACCAAGATAAGAGAAGAGTCTAGGACCACTGCACATGTCCCAAATAGCTCCACATAGCCCTGATCAAGCTCTCAGGGATGTCTTAGATCTCACTCTTTCCCCTCCTGACCTTGACTTTCCCACCCAAAGCAGCTCTTGAGGTCTGCACTCAGCACAAGCAGTCCCAGGCTTCCCAGGTCTGGCAACAGTTTTAGGAAGGTCACAGAGAGGAATTCCTCTGGCCAACATGTGGGCCAACTGGTGTTAAAGAAAAAAAGGAAAAAAAAAAAAAACAGAAAGGGAGGGAGGGAGGAAAAAACAAAAGGGAGAGAGAGAAAAAAAGAAAGGGGAGTGGTAGCACAGTTTTCAAATCTACATGCACTCTCAGAACAGAGCTGAATCACTTGCTACAAGAAACAGAACTGTGTTGACTCAAGCCGGGGCTTGTGCGGAGGGGCCGAATGTCTCCTGCCTCGGACAGGACGGTGGCCACGTGCTGGGCCTGGCAGCCCCCGCCTTACCTGTGGGCTTTGTGTTCTTGGGCCACCTTCTGTGTCAGCTCCTCCAGAACAGCTTCTTCCAGGGCCAAATCCTATCAAAATGGAAAGCAGTTAAGGTCACTTGCTATTTTGCTTGCAAACCTTAAAAGCTCTCTTTTTTCTAGAAGTTGTTCCTGATTAGCTTCACTTCCTCAGTCTCCCTTTACTCCTTTGTTTGTTTGTTTGTTTTTGCGGTACACGGGCCTCTCACTGCTGTGGCCTCTCCCGTTGCGGAGCACAGGCTCCGGACGGGCAGGCTCAGCAGCGGCCATGGCCCACGGGCCCAGCCGCTCCACGGCATGTGGGATCTTCCTGGACCGGGGCACGAACCCGTGTCCCCTGCATCGGCAGGCGGACTCCCAACCACTGCGCCACCAGGGAAGCCCCTACTCCTTTGAATTAGAGGTTGTCATTTTTAGGACAGAGGTTCATTTTTACTTTTGTAACAGGGCTCTCCACTATAACAGGCTATTTCAAGGCATACTTGGGGTTGCCATCTAAATTCTGGAGGATCTGGGAATAGCTCTTTTTTCATTTACCTTCTTCTTCCCTATCTGCCTGCCTCTTGGACTTTCATTAAAAATGCTTTTTAAGAAACAGAAACAGACTCACAGACTTAGAGAACCAACTTACGGTTACCAGGGGGTAGGGTTGGGGGGAAAGGGATAGTTAGGGAGTTTGAGATTGACGTGTACACACTGCTATATTTAAAATGGATAACCAACAAGGACCTACTGTATAGCACAGGGAAACTGGTCAATATTATGTAACAACCTAAATGGGAAAAGAACTTGAAAAAGAATAAATACATGTCCATGTATTGAATCACTTTGTGGTACACCTGAAACTAACACAACACTGGTAATCAACTATACTCCAATATAAAATTAAAAGTTAAAAAAAATCCTCTGTTAAGTGCTTACACATTTTTAACAGTGAGGATATACAGGCAAATGAGTTTCCAGGTCATCATCCCTTCCAAAGCTGAGCCCAAGAAGGGACTGTGCCTGGCCTTTTTATCCACCAGCACAATCCCAGCAAACTAATTCAGAGCCACCTGAAGTAAGAGCTGGCTCATTCAGAGACTAGTTGATGGGGCCTTGGGAACAAAAGAGGCCACGACAGCTCAACCGCCACAGCGGAGCTCCAGAAGGTAACAGGTGGGGAGCTGACCAGCTGGTGTCTCGACCAACTGAATCCCAGGCCCCTGGACCAGTGCTGTGCTGGCTCCCATGGGATTAGAGTCAACTGGACACATTGCTTCCCAACTCCCTTTCAATGACGGCGGGAGTATTTAAAGGGCTTGTTAAACATTTAGCAGGAAAGTGAGATGGAGTCTGGAGGAATACATCCAAGATGGGGAGACCAAGCAGTTCCTGAGACACTGACAGGCATGGAGATTCTATAGCTCATCCCATCCCTTTCGGTGGCTCCAGCCCAGATGCCTCTGCCCTTCCCAGGTGCAACTTCCACGCCCCCCAGGCTGGTGAGCACCAAGGAGGGTACAGATGTGCTCCGTCTTCCTCTGAGCTCCAGAGGGGGCGTTAGAAGGGGCTCCGAGCTGTGTGTCCCGGTGAGCCTTCCAAGGCTCATCAAAGACACTTGGGGGGGGGGGGAACTGATGTTTTCACAGAAAACATCCAAAACGCCTCATTCCCTTGGTTCTAAAATATCATTTATATCAAGATGACGTCCAATTTAACAGCTTTTCATGAAACACTACCCCCCAAAGGTACACCTCAAAACTGCAAGAAACATCCCATCTCAAATGATGCAACTGGAGAAAATCAATATTTCTTAAAGCTGGAACATGCGAGCACAACTATATATTAGAAATTCTATAGCTCTGCAGATGGTCCTGAGACACCTTAGGGAAGACGGAGGGAATTGCTGGCAGCTCTCATTTTTCATGTGTTACTGATTAATTTGCTGTTTTCTGTTTAGCCATCCACTGAAACAACTCAAGTCCATGATAGGAAACAAGCTCGATGTTTTCAGTTTTATGCTGTGGAATCACAAAGATGCCACGTGGCTTAGGAATCCAGCTATGTCTGTGCATCCAGGTGCCGAGTATTAGAAATAACTCAATATTAATTTTGAAAAGCTAATAAAAGGCATGTGGCAAGAGAATAAAATAAAGATAACTGAAGATCAAAAAGTGCTCCAATAAACTGCTGTCTCCTACTTTGAAAGAAGAAAAAGTCCAAAGGGACCCCTCTGCTATTGTACTCAACCCCACCGCCTCCATCTGTGTCTGGGGCCTCCCTGAGGTATGTGGTCCCACCACAGGGCCAGGCGAGAGTGGCCGCGCTAGGATGAAAAATGGCAGAGAGAGAGCCTGCACACAGCTGCACACCTGGGGAGCGCCCTGTGTACTTAACTTTGTTCTTTGACCGGCTGCAGAAATGCCATTTGACAAATTCGGTTACTTTATAAGATCAAACACAGCCATTCATCCCATCTTCCCTCCCCCACCAAAGGAATGCATTCTTCCCTTTGAAAGCTCTAGTGGAACCAAGCAGAAAGTTTGCAACCTTCCATGGCTCCCCACTGCCTACTCAATTAGGTCAACACCTGGGCCTGGCATTCAGACCATTTTTCAGTGTGGCTCAGCCGTCCCCTTCAGACCTCTTCTCTCAAGGGTTCGAGACCTCAGGCCGACTCTTCCTAACACAAACTGCTTTCACATCTCACCCCATCTTTCAGGTCCTGACACACCTACCACTCCCTGGACAGGGCTTCCATATTCTCTCACGTGGGACAGAAGCCTTTCCCTCTCTGGACCTACCTCTTCCGCCCTGTGTGTCTCTCTAGAGTTCTTACCATCGTCTACCTATTGTCTTTGTTACATAGTTATCTGGATACTCATCTCACCCTTTATCCTTGTCTCCCTCCCTCTGCTAGATGACAGGCACCTAAGGTCAGCAAACAGCAAGCCTCCACACTGCCTCCAGGGCCCAACTCAGGGCTTTGAACAATGCCAGCGTATAAACTCTCAACATACAGTAGACGATCAATAAACATTGACTGCGCTGAGCTGAGCTGAGCTCAATATGCAACGTGTCAGTTTCATATTGTCAAGCGAGGGTTTTTTTTTGTTTCTGTTTTGTTTTAATTTTTATTGGTGTATAGTTGATTTACAATGTTGTGTTAGTTTCTACTGGACAGCAAAGTGCATCAGTTATACATATACACGTAGCGACTCTTTTTTAGACTCTTTTCCCATACAGGCCATTACAGGGTATTGAGTAGGGTTCAAGTCAGGCGAAGCGGCTGAATGATAATTTATGCACTCTGCTTGTCCTCTGTCGGCTCACATTTCAAAGGGCACAGAGTACTGTTGCCTGGAAAGACACCCTTCAGCATCCTGTGCTTGCCTAACAGAGACAGAGAAATAATGCTGCTGATAATAATAATGTGAGGACAACGGTGATCATGATGACAACTAAATAAACACTGAGATTCCCCATGTGCCCGATTAAGTCCTTCACGTGCATTCTCTCCTTTTATCCTCACAGTCAGATTAGGCTTGTTATCCTCATTTTTAGATGAGGAAATGGAGGCTTTGGTTAAATAACTTGCCCAAGTTTGTACAGCCAGTAAGTGGCACGGCCAGGATATGGGTACAGAACACTTGACCCCTATACTCTAAACCTCCTGACCACAGGCCACAGTGTATCGAGGATACAACAGGGGTCAGGGTCGTGGGGCGGAGGAGAGGATACATGACTGATGGCAGAAGCCTAGGAATGTTCACGAATCAGATACGCATGCTGACCTCAGCTTCTGCCACGTCACCCTGAGGGCCGTCCAGTAGGACTTTCTGGAATGATGGAAATGTTCTATACCCAAGCTTTCCAGTACAGTAGCCATGAGCCACACGTGGCTACTGAACACTTTTTTAATGCAACTGAGGAAGTAAATTTTTAATTTTATTTAATGCTAATTAATTTCAATTTGAATGTACACAGCCACCTGTCACTAGCAGCTACTATACCAAAGAGGGAAGCTTTAGATCCAAGGACAACAACATCGGTGTCTGTCTGGCACAGTGAGGCTGAATGAGGTCTCTGCTGTTTTAATATCTGATTTGCTTAGAGCCCAGCGGAGACGTGGTCTTATTCTGAAAAAGGTATGATACACAAAATAACTCCTTTGCTGCCTTACAGCACTTTAACCTGTCAAAGCATTTTACCACCTACAAACTCATACATCTCACGCTCGTGATCACCCTTGAAAATTCTCCTGATCTCTGCCTAAAGGCTATGTGATAAAGACCTTTAATGAGAGAAAGGTAAAAAAAAAAAAAAAAAAATTGTGAAAAATTATCAACCCAATTCATTGTCTCCGTTTGACACAAACATACACGTTCCCTAAAATTCTAAGGTATCACTTTCACTTTCCTCCGTGGAGCACACCAGAAAACATCCTGACTTTTGTGTGAGCTGCTGAGTTGTTACAGATACTGACACCAAGTCCTATGAAGAACTTCTCTGCTAAGTAATATGCTAATCTCTTTGAATGGAGGTTGATTTAATCGGTGGAATTAATAAGGCATAAAAAACAGCAGGCCCAAGATAATACTGCTATTATCTTGGTGGGAAGAAGAATAAGGAGAGAGCTATTCATAAAAAGTTAGAGATTTTGCAGTATTTCCCTAACCTAGAAGAATAAGGTTAAGTTTTCGACCACTTTAGAGAAAAGGTAACCCTTGTACACTGTTGGTGGGAATGTAAACTGGTGTAGCCACTGTGGAAAACAATAGAGAGGTTCCTCAGAAACTAAAAATAGAACTACTCTATGACCCAGCAATTCCACTCCTGGGTATATATCTTGAAAAAAAAGAAAACACTAATTCTAAAAGATACATGCACCCCAATGTTCATAGCAGCAATATTTACAACTGACAAGCTATGGAAACAACTTAAGTGTCCATCAACAGATGAATGGCTAAAGAAGATGCGGGGGGGGTGTGTGTGTGTGTGTATGGATACACACACAATGGAATACTACCCAGCCATAAAAAAAAAAGAATGAAATTTTGCCATCTGCAACAACATGGATGGACTTGGAGGGTATTATGCTAAGTGAAATAAGTCAGACAGAGAAAGACAAATACTGTATGCTATCGCTTATATGCAGAATCTAAAAAACTACAACAAACTAGTGAATACAGCAAAAAGAAGCAGACTCACAGATATAGAGAACAAACCAGTGGTTACGAGTAGGGGAGGAAGGAATGGGAGGTACAAATTACTGGATATAAGGGAGGCTCAAGGATGTATTGTACAATATGGGGAATACAGCCAACATTTTGTAATAACTGTAAATGGAAAGTAACCTTTAAGAATTGTATAAAAATTTTTTAAAAGTTTTTTTTAAGTTTTGGACCAATTAGATTCATCTCATCACTGACACAGGAAATAACTGCAACCTTACTTACCCCTTCTCTCAAAACTTAAAACCTTTGTCGCCAGACCCCTCTACTTTCTCCCATATGCCATAGTAGTTTAGATGCCAAGCTCTGCCCACTGTACTTCCAGAATATCTTTTGCATTGCTTTTTCGTTTTTATCTTCACTGCCAACACCTAATGCTTATGTCTTGCCGAGAAAACCACAACAGATTCTTATCTGACGTCCTTCCACAAACGGTCTCATTACTCTAATCCAGTGGTCCTCAAAGTGTGGGGCCTGGAACCCCTGGATGGAGCCCACGCGTTCTAACTCCTCAGATGTTTCAGGCTTCTCTGCCACCGCTCCCCTCCGCACCCCTGAGCGGCCATCAGACTGGCCAGCTGACTCCCACCCAGTTACGCAGGCCACCTCGCCTCTCCTCCTCCAGCCTCTGTCTAGAGCATCCCTTGCTCCTTCCCTCTCTGCCTGCTGCAATGCTGCTCATCCTTTAAGATGCAGCTCACACACCATTAGCCTTTCGACCTACCCTCACCTCCCCAAAACAGGTAACCTCTCCCCACAGAGAATCCCTATCATACTTTGTTACACTTGGATTTGCATTAGGATTTTGCAAACTTCCTATTGACTCAGCCACTATGTCGTCGCCCTGAGAACAAGCACCGTTTCTTATATAACTTTATCCCTCAGGGGGAAAAAAAAAAGTGGTAAATGCTCGTGATTTCTAAAATCAGAGCCGGAATGTTGGAGCGGGTATAGCCTTTCCCTAAAATGGTTTTTCAAATGTTTTAACTTTCCTCGTGAAAGCTCTTCTCAATTACTCCAAAGCTACCAAGAAACAAACAAAAATACTCCAGGGATAAAAACCTAGCCTCATCCCTAATTTAACCCAGGAATAAACATTTTACTTCATGGACACATTCAACAGACGTTTATGCATGCAAATTATGTGCCAGACAACAGTGGATGAGATAGAGTCCCTGCTTAAGGACCATAGAGCTGACACTCCAGCTGGCAATAAAAATGAAAGAAAGAATGAACACGTTCAGATACTGAAAGAGCTCTGAAGTACACGCATAAAAGGGCAGGAAGTGCTGGATGGTTGGAGTGTATAATATAGATGGTCAAGGAAAAGGAAGCCTTCCCTGAGGAGGTGGTATTTGAATCAAGATCTGAATGACAAGTCGTAAGAAGACCTGGGGTCGAGCATTCCAGGCAGAGGAGGCGCAGTACAAAGGCTCTGGGATGGGACCAAGCTCGGTGTGCTCAGAAAGGAAGACAGAACATAGTAGTGGAGGCTAGTGTGATGGGGCCGGGGGCAGGGAAGTGTCTTGAGGAGGTAAGAAGAGGCATCTTTACCATTCTCAGTGTCTTACAAAACTTGTTCCTACTTTATAAATGCAGGGACATTCTCCCTAGGGAATATGTGTGTAAATTCCTCTGAGATTTTCAAAGGAAAGAATTAAATATCCATAGAAGGTAGAAAATTAATTAAGAAAAAGGAAATTACACTTACCATTGGAAATAGCACATATTCTCTGAGGAAATCCTGAGAGTCAAACTGATTATAGTCTCCAAAATCAGCTGAAAAGAAAAGAAGGGGAAGGAGGGCAGTCTTTATTATATGACATTAAAGATGGACTAAAATAGGGTAAACTTATCACCACATTTACTCTCGCCACTTTATCCTACTTCTGTACTATTATTAAATAAAAACAGTGCCAAGATGGGTTTGATGTTACTACCACTTTCACATAGCAATAATGTAAATATAAGCATGTGAGCACTGCTACACAATTTTCTAGAAAGAATGGGGAAATTTGAAAGTGATTCCTAAGCTATTTTAAAAACTTAAAACAAATCTATATTTATCTTTTTATTAAATATTTACCAACACATATCTTAATTATATCTGCCAAGGGGACTTTTTTTTTTTTGCGGTACGCGGGCCTCTCACTGTTGTGGCCTCTCCCGTTGCGGAGCACAGGCTCCGGACGCGCAGGCTCAGCGGCCATGGCTCACGGGCCCAGCTGCTCCGCGGCAAGTGGGATCTTCCCGGACCGGGGCACGAACCCGTGTCCCCTGCATCGGCAGGCGGACTCTCAACCACTGTGCCACCACGGAAGCCCATGCCAAGCGGACTTTTTAACTCAAGGTTAATTTAGAGAACTGAAGAGACAAACCCATCTGCATCTCTTCATATATTTGCAGCTGGAAATTCCCACTGTAAATCACCCTTGGCAAGCATCCTTGCAAATTTTTACACCTCTTAAACAACTCCACATGTTATAAGATGCCCAAAGTTCTGTTTTGTCCTACTTTCATCTCACGGTTGTAAGTTTGAGCACATGTAAAATGAATACAGTGCGCCTCTATCATAAATCTATAAATGTCTTGCTTCGAATCCTACTTGCTCTCAAAAAAAAAAAAAAAAAAACTCAAAGCAGCATGAAATTTTAATTTCATGTAAAATGTTTAGCATCAGGTAGAAATGGATTCAGGTATCTTTTAGGTAACAAGAACTAGAGAGTGAGGGGATCCACACAGAAGGCTGTTACCAAGAAGGCAAAGATGCACCTACAAACTCAGTACATAACTAATTAACAAGGTGAGGCACTCAGGAACACCAAAGATCGTAGGCTCTGCCTAATTCCAAGGTCAGTTATCTGTTGTCATATTTCATCACAACTTTTATCTCTGTTGATGTGGCTTTCTAACTGCCCAATAAGCGTTCTCAGAAAAATTATTTTACAAATATTATAGCTAGAGGAGGTTTCATCAGACTGAACAGCGAGCTTCAAGGACCCAAGGAAAAGGGAACCCAGAGTAAGTTCACCAACTTCCTTTAGCCTGAAAGCTATCACTAGGGTCCTCCAATATCCAGGATGCCTGTAATGAGCCCAATGATTAAAGAGTGAGAGGGAAAAAAAGAGAGTGAGTGAAAAGGAAGCATTTTAAAGGAGAAAGACCCAATATGAAGATGAGGGACCCATTGATCTTCTCTCTCTTCTCCCCAATTAAGGGTGTCTTCTCCACTGTTTTAATGATTTTTCAGTTATAACCACGGATGGTTTCGTTATATCGTTCTGGGCATTGCTCCTTCCCTTTCCAGTGTTAGGTGAACAGCATATTTTGCGTACTTCCAATCCACAGGGGAACAGGAGAAGCTAACTACTAAGAATCATACGTGCAACAAAAATCGCTAACCCGCTAATATCCCCAAAATGAAAGTTATCAAGGAAAGGCTGCCTCTTTAGACATTTCAAACCCAAAAGGTTTAACTTCAGTGCAGTTACAGATGGGAAGTTCAGTTCTCAGCTTCTACAACAACAATCCACACAGCAAGGACTTGGCGGCTGGCAGGCTTGCATTTGGACGGTACCTGATTTTAAAGAAAATCATGACTACAAGGGAAACTCGTCTCTCTTTAAAAATTATACTTTTATCTTGTTTTCAACATGACTAAAGACAATGAAGCTACCCCTCAATAAAGAGTAATGTATAAAGATATGTAAAAAATTACATGGTGTGTTACGTAAATATGTGTAACGATTTAGAGAAGATAAAAACATAGGTGTCTGATCAATCTAAGTAGGACAAGTTGAAAGATAAATGTACTCTAACACACATTTGGTGTTCCACATTACAATCTTGCATTTTAAATTTCTCTCTTTAACTGTGTCGGAATAAATTACACTACAATGTTTTAAGCTCTCACACTTGAAACTGATGTGAAAGTCACACAGTCATAGCGTCAAGCCACAAGATATGACCATGTTGGGCAGTGACAAAATTCTAAGAAAATGTTCCACCAACCCTGCAATGTAGCTTTACTTAGAGGCAGGATGAAAGCTGCTGTTTCTTCAAATAAAACTAAAATTATACAAGCATGAGCAATTTGCAAACAGCTTTGAGAAATCCAACATCCTGCCTCTAAAAAATCAGTATCTCTGCATTTTTAATGTAAGATACCTTGAAATGAAAAGTGAGAGTTACTAAGGGATCGTTTAAGTAAATTTAACTTTTCCCTCTGAGAGGCCAGCGACACCAACATCCAACAGAAGACGGACTGTCACACACCGGTCCCCACTCTCTTACCTTGCACAGCTAAGCCCGCCAGCCGGATCACCTGTTCCAGCGTACATCGCAACCGCCCTTCAAGCACGTCTTTTTTGACTTGCAGGTAATACTGATATCTGTTCGTGGAAACAGAAGAACAAATAACCTTAAAAACACATACTTGGAATACATTCCCACGACATCGATGCCTCTGGATGTGAAACCTTATGTACACAGCAGGATACACAGGTGATGTCGATAAAGGTCAGGTCTATAGAAGATGGAAAGTGACCTCTGCCTGTGTTTATCTTTGTTTGATGTGGCAGGTGCCACGTCCCGTTCACTCTGAGTTTGAGAGCGTTCTCATCACATCATTGCACTGCGGGCCGGCAGGATGAACTACTGATAAGAACCAGCTCTTCACAACAAGAGACCAAGAACGAGAACGCTCTTCCACACTTCGACAACCACAACAGCACAGCTGCCAAAGCCATATCCAACAGTGTGTGCACTCCTGAAAAACTTCTGGAAACACACCATTTCTTAAACCCCAAGGCTTGGGAGAGTAGAAGACAAATAGGCCAAATCATTGAGAATTCTGCTAATGGACAGGATAAAGCTTTTCAGAGCCAGGCTCACCCTCCACGTCTGCGACTCACAAAAAATCCAATCAAATGTGATACGGAGCCTTCCAACCCAAAGTACGTCCTCCAAGCAGCAAAGTTCAGATGGACAGAATGTGCCCATGCACAACATCAACCTCAGACTAGACCACTGTTCTAGAAACTAATACAGCATTATTGTTTCCTCGCCAGTAAAATTGCACTTAGAAATCTCCTCACCCCAAACCTTTACATCCCAGGACTCCACTTCCTTTGACCATACTCTTAGAACACAGCTACCTCTAGAACAGTCACACTTTTTAGGCATTAATTCTTGGCAAATGCTAACCACCTTTTTGCTCCTGGTAACCATAAGTCTGTACTTCTTCAAAATTTTGGCATGTCAATCAAGGGAGCTCAGGAGTGACCCAAAGCCCAGCTCTCATGGAGAGAGGCAATCAGCCCTGAGAGCTAATTATTGCTGCCTCTACCTTGATATCACGGACATCACTACATATCAATCCAATACCTATTTGAACAGAAGAATCAGGCTCGACAAAATAGTCTCTACTTCTCTACTCTTGGGTTTATGGGACAAGGTAAAGACAACCAGGTCTGTCTCTGGTGGGAAAACCTACACTCAAATTAGAAGGACCAACACTCGGCGTTATCTAAAGATTTTTTTAGTCAAACTTAATGTCTAATAGAAAAACAACCTATTTTTCCTACCACTATTCTATCCTTCACCTAAAATATTCAAAATCATTTTACAGCGTCCAGTATCGAATCAATAATTTGACTACTTGTCAATGTCAGTTGACTAAATCGATTAATGTACATAACAAGTACCTTCACTGCTTTTCAGAGACAAGTCCCTGGTACCTGTAGAAAACCTTTGTGTCCACTCACCACTCTTAGCTCAGTGGACACTGCCCTGACCTCACCTAGTCATTATATCCTTAGCTGGTTAGAGGCATCGTGGATTCTAAATCCCGACAAATAGGAACAGAGGTTGATTCATATAAGACCTTGTGATTAAAAATCTTTTGTTGGTAATGAAGTGGCAACTCTGCTGTTTCCAAATGTGCACAATTTGGAGCTAATACTAGACAGGATACTTTGAAAAATCCTGTGAAGTTGAAGGTACCACCTTTGTGTGTGTGTGTGTGTGTGTGTGTGTGTGTGTGTGTGTATTTTTTTTCTTTGTTGAGGGAGTTTCTGGCAATAATATATGATAGAGGGGAAAGGGGAAGTCATGACCTGCCTCTTCATTCTTCATAGGTGAGAATCAGAGTAAATGAAAACACTTTGAAGCAATAATTGTAAACGAATTAAAAGAAACAGCATGAGAGTGAATCAAAGTATTGAAGACTAAAGAAACCTGAATTGCTGCAGTTAAAATATGCCATGTTCCCCTCTGCCTTCCTTTTTTCCCCTGTTCACTGAGGTCAAGTCCCCAAGCTCTGGCATATTTTTCAAATGTTTCACACAAGGTGAGTTACCATCACAGAAGGGTGGTCCCATGCATTCCCATGATCCACGTGCCTGCTGTGTGCCTGAATGTCTCCCATCTCAAGGGGAAAGAGACAGCCAGCCTGCACATGGCAAGTGCCAAGGATCGCAAGGTTCCATGGTTTCATTCAGCAAACCAAGAGCTCCAACAGAAATGCTTTACACTAGCACCTTTGCTTCAAGGAGTGTGTACCCTATCGAGTCCAAGCAAAGCTCAGGGCTTCTATAACCTTACTTAAATAACAGATTTATGCCTAAAAACATAACCTAATGATGCACACTATTAGTTCATCTCCTAGGAGAAAGCTCAGTAAAACCTAAACTAAGAGGGAAACACAGGCTTCAGAAGCCTTCTTCTCATGCAAAGCTACAGCACATGTTTTCTGTTGCATCCTCCATCTTCCTTCATGGTTTGTCCTCAGCACCCACCGCCATACTCTTTCCCTGTCCCCGGCCTGGTTCTCAGTTTTCCTCTGGCACCTGTCTTGTGCCTCTGGGCCAGTTCTCCAGGAAACAGTAAAAGGTCCACTCATTCACGTGAGGAAACTTTTCCTTCAAGAGATTTTAGGAATTGCCCGGGAGCCATTCAGGAAAGATCTTTTTTTTTTTCCAGTACGCGGGCCTCTCACTGCCACGGCCCCTCCCGTTGCGGAGCACAGGCTCCGGACGCGCAGGCTCAGCGGCCATGGCTCACGGGCCCAGCCGCTCCGCGGCATGTGGGATCCTCCCGGACCGGGGCACGAACCCGTGTCCCCTGCATCGGCAGGCGGACTCTCAACCACTGCGCCACCAGGGAAGCCCAGGGAAGAACTTTTATGTTTATAACCTAGCCAGTTCTCAAAAAGGAGAACACCTTCTTGTAGAAACCCAGGCAAGCAAGGGGGTCCTTAGTCATCAAAGACCAAGAGTTCACTGTGAAAGCAGATAGGTCTTTGAAGAAGAGCCACTTAGAATCTGAAGACCATACTTTCAAAACTGGGGGAATAAGAAGAAAAGAGGGATGACGAAAAGTGTTAACATCATCCTATGGCCAGAGGAGCCCGCTGTGTCTTTCTTCAGAAAAATTAAAGGATGTTTAATTTTTTTGTTAATAAAAACAAACAAAAAAAAAAACAACCAAAAGACTAAAAAAACAAAATCTCACAAAAGGAAGGAATGTTAGTGTTTATTAAAGAAAGGTACAATGGGATTCTAAAAACAACAGCAAGAACAACACGCACAAAACCCAAAAACCCAGACAAACCAGAAGACACAATTTCAAGGTGGGAAAGGATGGTAACGTTTGCCTACTCGTCCGTCCTATTCAAACAGTGTTTGAAACTCTTCTACATGCATTCACTCCTTCGTATCTGGAGTTGTTTCGACTCATTTTCTGCTCTCCAAGCCCAGGAGACACATGGATAGGAATGAACATTCATTAAGCACTTCCTGTACGTCTAAGTCGGCTAGATGCCGAGGACATCCTGGAGAAGGCTAAGACAGTCTGCCCTGCAGGGATGCTCATCATCTCTCGGGCCACCGCTGTCACGTTTCTCTCTCCAGTGCAGTATTTAAGGGTTTAATGTTTAAGAACCAACGAGAAAAGCAACTTAAAAGGTGTTATCCTAGCATTATCTGCCATAGCTAGGGCCTTTTACACGTCACCTTGGAGGCAAAAATGATTAGCTGAGACCTTGGGAAATATAATCCACAGCACCCAGCAAAACAACAGTTATAGTTTTCTTACCCTGCTGATCCCAACTTTCATCCACAATTATCACTTCTATAAAATGTATAAGCAGGTTCCATCTATTATAGATCCATCCCACGCTAGGCAACAGCGCATCCCAGTCCACTAGCAAGGAACACCAGGATTGTTCCCGGTCATTTAGGTTAAATGTAGGCTTGTGCTGGTAAGCAAAACCAAGGAGCTGAAGAATGCAATGCCCCTGCCTGCAAGCCATCCAGACTACGAGAGAATCTGAACAGCGTTAATGATATGGTGTGATTGCCATTTGAGATTGTGGATATTACTACATGAGATCACAGAACCAGGAATGGAAACTGAACCACTTTGCTAATTGATTGTTTGCTACATTTCTGCTCAAAAGGTACTTTTATAAGATATAATAATTCTATCCTATATGAAGACCAAATTAGAGAATATGAGCTGAAATTCTATTTCTAGAATGTTTGGTTTTTGCTTATTTTTGATTAGAGATTCAATTCTAACAGCAGTAAAATATAACACTGAATCCTATTCTGGAAACATGCAATTTCATGGAAGTATACTCCACTCCACCCTGTCATAGCTTTGGGTGGAGGGGAAAAGAAAAAAACCAATCCTTGTGCCAGGAAAGTAAGTATTTGCCAACTTTCCAAAGGGATCCTCTTTGTAAACCCAAACCCACAAGGAAAGCTTTTAAATATTTTTTATATTCAAAGACCTGGAAATAGTCCATCTGACTGCTGAGGTCCAATGAATGGCTTTAGGTGAAGATTTTGCTCTCCCTCTAAGAATTGGTGAACATAATTATGCTTATTGAACAAGGGTAACATTTCTATTTTCAGTTTTTTGTTTTGTTTTGAATCTCCAGAGATTAATTTATGGATTGAATGCAAGTTTCTCTGGGTGAAGCAGTAAAGGCTTCCTGATAATTGGTGCTATTAAACGTCACACTTGGAAACTGACAGACACTATAAACCCATCCCTAGAGGTCTCATCTATCTGGAATACTTCTATCCAAACTCAAGAAAATATGTGACTTATCCATGTTCTTTCCTCCCCCTAAGATTTTGAAAAGAAAGGTTAAAAAAATGCCACACTGGGGCTTCCCTGGTGGCGCAGTGGTTGGGAGTCCGCCTGCCGATGCAGGGGACACGGGTTCGTGCCCCGGTCCGGGAAGACCCCACATGCCGCGGAATGGCTGGGCCCGTGAGCCATGGCCGCTGAGCCTGCGCGTCCGGAGCCTGTGCTCCGCAACGGGAGAGGCCACAGCAGTGAAAGGCCCGCATACCGCAAAAAAAACAAAAAGCCACACTGA